GTCCCCGCTGCGAGAAGGGACGATTGTCGAAGCTCCTTCAGCGTCCCGGCAGATGTGGTCTCAGGCATCGATGCAATCGAAAGCATTGCCAGATGTACATGTCCCCGACACATCTACATCCGTGGTTTACGGATGGCAATGGCGCAGGAGCTACACCTTTACAAACCCAGGTGGTGGTCTTGTTGATGAAGCTGCAGAACATCAGCCTTCCTTTCACAGGTCAAATGCTTGCACGCCTCATCTAGGCGAGACAAGACTGTGTCAAAGCCTACCAACCCAAGATCCAGCTGGGGTCGAAGAAGGGTGATTTCAGGTACGTGAAGTATTGGGTTGATGTCGAGGGAGACGAAGCCAGCTTCACCTGCTGGGCGTGGACCCTGAGGTGGATCCCAAGAAGCCCGTGCGATGGGAACAGTGGTTGGGGCTAGTCCAGCGAGGACGGCCCGAATCCTTGATTTTGGAGCGATTGAATCCTCCGCCCTCGGAGGTTAGAGCACCGGGTCCTGGAGCTGTACGTAAGGTCGAGTGGTTGCCGCTGGCCAAGAAGCACCTGCAGGGCAACCACGTAAGAAGCGGAAGGTTATCGACGGCAAGGTCACATGGATTAAGCCGAGCTACGTCAGGGTCGTCTGGCACAAACTCCCAGGCACCAGCAAAACCGTTCGAGTGAAGGCGGGAACGAAAATCATTGACAGGGCATGGAGATACATGAAGGATCGTATCGTGCTCAACCAGACCCTTGGAACGATGTTAGTCTGGTTTGTGTTTTCTGTTTTCGTTTCCATGACCCATATTTCCGCTTTGCCCCAGACGCCATATGAAATCCCAGGAACGTCCGAGCCGGATCCAAGTTTCTGCGTGCCCAAATCCAGGCAGCCCAATACCAATATTGGTTCAAGAACGAGGACCCTTGGACGAAAGCCTGTGATCTCGTCAAGTTCCAGATGGAGAGGATGATGAAGACGTGCTGAGGTCATCGGGCGCGGGGCTGGGGGTAGATGTCTTAGCGACGTCTGCACGACACATTCGCTATAACGAATGTGTATACGGATACGAGGATGCGATGGAAAAGCGTTCGTACCTGTGCACGCTATGGAGACAATCACTACATTCAGCCACATCATGTTTGGATTTCTCTCACACTAACTTATTATGCTAGTGTGAGAGACATGAAACACTATGATATAGATACACATATCATTTATATTTGTATATGAAATAATGATAATATCATCATATTCAGTTTCCGTCTACCTTATCATAATACGATCATGCGAGAGGAATCTGAATAAGATGATCTATTTGACGTAGCATATACATACATGCAATATCCATATACATCACACTATTAAGTTGTATTTCACATTGTTATATGATACAGCAACATGCATATGCACAGTAAAGCATGTATACACATAATATGGGGGGTATATAATCACATAGAGATGATACTCAAATCCACAAACCATAAGCGCCACGAATACTGTGCAGGTACATCAGCTGTGCGCTATGCCGCTATGCACATCGTGATCGGCTGATTTCCACTTGACTGCAAGTTCGGCTCAAACACCTGCGCATACCGTCCCTAAACCCTAAGCGCCTAAGCCCTAAACTCACACTTTTCAGTTTGTAGGACGAGTTTAGTTTTGAGAACCTGTGTGTCTCAGCAGCCAGTATGTAGGAGCCTGAAGTTGTTTTGTCCGCAGTGGCGTTGTCAATACTGCGCCACCCTCCTCGTGAGAAACCTCCTGTGGGACGCCTTTGGACCATTGGACCTTTGGAGTGGAACTCTCGTGCAGCTACTAGGTGCTCAACTTTTAGGAGAGCCGACACCACCACCACCACCGCTACCACCCACGCCAGCGACACTACAGCCACCACCACCACCACCCACCCACCACCACGACCACCAGCAGAAGCACAAGGCTTGCAGAGAACGGCGACACCTTTACGAGTTGTCATGCTACCACCGCCAGAGAAAGTTGCTCGAAGACGAGGAGTTGTAGTACCACCACCACGAAGAGGAAGTGTTCCAAGTACTGCTGCCGTTCTACTGCCGGATCTTAACCTACAACACAACGCCGCAGTACCCGCTAAAGCACGTCCAATACGTCGGGCTGAACATGGTCTTGGGAAGCAACCGCCGCCGGTGACCTCTCCTGCTTGTACTACCTCAGAACGTGAGCGTACTAGAAGTCCCAAAGTGCAGGAACCAGCTTTTCCGCCGAGCGTACTAGAAGTCCCAGAGTGAAGGAACCAGCCTTTCCGCCTTTTACTTCAGGAAATCCCAGAGTGAAGGAACCAGCCTTTCCGCCCCCTACCTCAGGAAGTCAAAGAGTGAAGGAACCAGCCTTTCCGCCTTTGATGGTAGTTCAACTGTTTAGCAGGAATGAGAGTAGAAATCTTCCTGCTTCTGCAGCTGTAATCATCTTGGATATGAAAAACTTTGCCGATCCAGGAAAGGACCCAACTACGTTGTCTCACATAGGCTGGAACCCACGAACATTGAATCGTCCACGGTCGATCAATAAATTTCGCTGCCTGCTGGCACCGGTCATTACTTTGGCTTGGTCACGATGTGAAATCGACATGCTTTGTAAATGTAGAGCAGGCAAGCACACGATCGTCGCGGCAACCACAATACTTGCCATGCTTCTCCAAACATATCTAGACCCCAAAGCAGTTATCCAAGTGGAACACCTGGAAAGCAGCACCGGGTGGAATCGGACGTGTAAAGGCGAGTGCGATGAGTGCCAAAGTGGCAGTCTTGCTACTCTGGATGTATCTAGCTTCAACGAGATATGGAAGATGTGTCCGTTTCATGCAGAGCATGATGAAGTACGTCTAGTGTTGACAAAGCACTGAAGGATGTTTCACACGTGACGATGTTGTTAGGAGAAAAAGCGGAATGCGCAGGTGTTTCCCTAAGTGATTTGTGTGCGTCATCCTTGCATTATGTAGTATGTGCAACACAAGCTCCCCCCCACTCCAGGTGCCTTGGCGAGTCGCAACACAGACATATTTCAGTTTTTTTTTCGGTTTAGGTCTAGACGTTTGGCAAGACTTAGCATGACTATCCGAAGTTAAACGGGTTTATGCCTTTGTAGCCAAGAAGGCTTAGGCAACACTTAGCATGATTATTCTGGTGTTGCAGGGTTTGTGTCGTTGTAGACAAGGGCTGTTGGGCAATACTTAGCATGATTATTTTGGTTTTAATGGGTTTCTATCGCTATAGATCGTTGTAGACAAGGGGTATTAGGCAATATTTGGCATGATTACTAATACTTAACATGACTATTTCGCTTCTGATGTGTTTATGTCGTTGTAGAGAAGGAGTACTAGGCAACATTTAACATGTCTATTCTGGCCTTGATGTGTTCTGGGTAGGATCGCAGGAGGCTTCGAGGTAGGTCCTGGGGGGGAGTAGCATATATATATATATGTGTATATATATATATACACATACACATATATATATATATAGTTAGATAGTAGATAGATAGATGAATAGATAGACAGATAATGACAGTGCGTGTATATTGATACGCAAAGGTACACATGGTGTTGCTGGTACGTTCCGGGAACACCGGATATGTGCTTGCCCCGTTGACTCGCGGATTTCACGAGAAGCCCGTAAAGTTAATCGTTTCCACCAAGCAGTGCGGCCATTCCGCAGCACAGGTGCGTCCTGTGTAACTATTCCGACGCGGGGAGCAGATTTGCAAAGGGACCGACCTTAACAAGCTCCATCCGGCCGGAACCGGTGCTTGTTGGGGGTTTTTGCAGCCAACATCCTACGAAGGCGGTGCAGATTTCCTGTTTCATGCGGAACGGACAATTTTTGCATGTACCTGCTGCATGTTGTTTCACCGCTAGCTTTCACCGTTGGTGTGTGTTTGGTATTATCAATTGCAGACTTGCATGTCAACATGAGCGACCTCGATTCATATGAGTGCATGCGCACACGTGCACCCCTAGTCAACGACCGCCGGGTCGTCGTCCACATCAAGCTACGGTCCCGCGGCACCGGCCCGACATGTGTCTACAAAGTTGTGCGGGGAGCACGCGTCTCGGTGGGATTGGAATCTGAAAAGAAGGCTACAATGCGTATTGCAGTTTCAATGTGTTCAATCATATTTGGATTCAGTGATACTTGTTACATGCTATTTAGTAACACACACATCAATTGAAACTCGATTTCATTACGTTTGGGAGCTGTTGTCTGCAGGCGTTACACAAGATTTTTTCATGGAACATATTTGGATGATACGATATGGATTTGACATTGCTAAAGATACATAAGCTATGCTTAAAACAGCAAAAGATTGATGAGTTCGACTCCTTTATAATGTAGGGTGGAGTTAGTCATCGTATGTCGTATCCTATTTATACGTGTTGAGCTATCCCAATGTAGATTTTAGGATTGTATTGGTCTTGTTATTCGGTTAACAAGATACAATCACATCAAACAATAACAATAACAAAAACAAGAGCAAAAGCAATACCAATCTCAATAACAATAACAACAAGAATACTATCAATACCAAAACAAGAACAACATCAACAACAACAACAGCAGTAACAACAGCCACCACCGCCACAACAACAGCAGCAACTACATTAACAACAAGAATGGCGAAGACGACTACGGCCAAGGCTGTTCCATCACGATCTAATCAATCCAAGCAGAAACGAAGACGATGGCGATCAACAGTTTTTGTGCGCCCCCCAGCGGTGCTTCAACACCTTCGTTTGAGTGCCGTTTGCAGTCGCATAATTTTGTAGCCAAGCAGGTCCGCAGCGTCGTTGGCAGTCGTTCGTGTCGGTCACTGCTTGGAACTTCGTTTCGAGCGCTCTGCCGTTCTGGTTTCATCAGAGATCGATTGGGTGTGCATGGCCGGGTCTTTGGTCTGGAGGTGAGCCAATACATCGGACAATGTAAGAAACGATGGCAGCTGCTACACGGATAGCGGTTGAGCGTACAATTCTCCAATTCACAGGCAGTGGCGAAAGCTTACGGGCCAAGCTGCAGGCCCGCGGCTTCGTGCAGGTTTCGAATCAGCTTCGAACCTGTCACTTGGAGGAGAAGCTGCAGAAGCAGTGCGAGAGAGAGCAGCAACTAGAGCAGGCCGCCAAAGAATGCACGGGCACACATACCTCGTCACGCCTTCCGCGCTCCATGCTCCGCGTCGCCGAGCAGCCTGGCAGGCGCTGCGGGAACTGCAGCCGATCTCGAGGACTCCGTGCCCAAGGCTTCAAGCTGCTTTGCATAAAGAAGCGATGCTATCTCAGGACCCAAGGAGGGTGCAAGGAGGCCTCCGAGTGCAGCAGCAAGTGGAGTGTGACAGGGAGTGCCTCTCGCAGGGCCAGTGGCTTCTTCGGATTGGAGCCGGGAGACCCAGGGACCCACTACAAAGCCCAGAGCGGCAAAGGCGCATGGGCCCAGGCTCTGCAAGATGAGCTGAAGCAGAAGATCGAGAAAGTCCACGTCATGCTCTCAAACAGAGAGCCCTTGCAGGAGGTGTCTCACTTCGTGCTGGGGCGTTTCATGTCTCTCTCCAAACAAGGCGTTGAAAGCCAAAGAGGAGCAGCTCGAGGCCTTGGGGATCGCACAGCTGAATCGCCGAAAGCTAGAATTCTTCGGAGCAGGCCGAGCTGCGAGACCGGCTCCATGCCGCACGGGGCTAATTTTTTATATTTGACTTGGATTTGTGAATGAACCTCCAAGCACAGGCAGATGCATACGGTTCTAGAGCACCGGTCTTTAGGACACGGAGCTGCTACCAGCACTGCGCCTGGCGGCAGCTGAGCTTTGTGCAGTGGGGGCCCCAGGGCCCCAGAGCCTGTCAGGATGCAAGCAACGTTTTGTCGCAGGGGTGGCTTCAATAGCAGAGAGTGGTTTCGTGTTTGGTGGCGCTTCTGCTTTGCTTGAAGGCGCAAGATGCCTCCCTTCCTGTCGGGCAGACGCGGCCCAGGCTGCTATGTGCCCTTCAGACAGCAGTCCTCAATGCCTTTGCACTGCCAAGTGCGACGGACGCGAAAGAATCTGGCAAACAGGCTAGGTACACTGGTCAATCCAGCCAGACCATGTTACACACCTCTTTGTATCTACGCCGAAGAAGCATCGAACATGTTGACTCGACGTGTAGCAAGAGTTGAAGCTACCGGTCCTGCGCGTGCGGCTTCCGTGCTGCACCCCACGATCCCAAGTTTCACTGTGAAACAAGCCCGCGATCGTGAAAAGAGCAGCACTACAACACAGGATCAAGCATCACGACAGACATCGTGTCACATCGCAATTTGCTCAAGGCCTTCAGACAGGTCAAGTTCGTTTATGTCAGTCCAGTCCAGGTTGTTGACGGCGGGGCTTTAGTCCTTCGTTTCAGCGTGTGAGAGTGTTGTTTGGGTTTGGTGCGGTGTGGGTGCAGGCTGATGGCGATATCAGAATGATGAGTGAGTCAATGAGAGACTACTTCGAGCGAGCAATTTTGCGGACGAGTGAGGAGGTAAAGTAGTGAGAGTCGTACGACAATCTGTCAGAGTCAAGCTGACTGTTCCTCGCATGACAGCATCTTTGCATACCTACCGGAGACCAAACGCTGGGTTCAGTCTTACTTCGAATCCCAAGGACGTTGACTGCGACAGGAAAACCCTGTCGAAGCGTAATTCTGCACCGAGGGTAGTGTTTACTTCGTCGCTTCTGTCTTGATGTGAGGCCGAGGCGGGCCTGAATGGCAACACAGCGTGGTGAGTGATGTTGGACGATATCTTCTGCCGGACAGACAATCATACCCACCTCGGGAATATGTGTTTGTGTATGTGTTCGTCTGAGGGACGGTGCCTTCCTGTGAGGAGGCATTGTTGGTCCGCAGCAGGGAATCGAATCATCTCACAAAGCAGTTGCAAACGGGCACTGAGCTCACAAGGCACGGCCCTACATTGAGATCCCCGACCTGCAGCCGAATATACCAGTGACCGGAAGCCGAAAGACTAAGTGAAGGGTGGACAGGACGAACACACTCGGGATTGGGTGTTTCAAGCCTGACGATTTGCGCCGCCTTCGAAAACTTGCTTCTTCAACCTGAATGCTCATGTTGATGCATCCGAATCGGAGGAAACATTCCGATTTCAAAGCTCAGAGCCATGAGGCTGTACTTTCCCTGATTGGGATTAGCGGTGCAATGCTATTTACATATCCTGCGCGAGACAGGATGGAAGTGCAGGGAAGAAAGCCAGTTAAGGTGTCAAAGGAACTTTCACGATGCCACGCAGACTGCATCAAGCCAACTACTTTTGATCTATAGTCTTCCTGCGGCGACTCCGAGGGCATGGCCGCATGTGACGCATACGACATGAGCATCTAGCACTGATTTGTTTTTCTGGTGGTTTACCGCTCGTTGTTAGTCGACTTCTTGATGGTTGCTGCATGTCTTTTTCTAAACATCTGTGTTGTTCCGTGTTGCCGTTTGCTTTCTGCTCTGGTACAGAACTGTTTTCTCTGTATCCTGAACATGCAGTTGCTGCATGCGCAAGCCTTGCAGGTCGTCACTGGACCTCTCCCAGGTGGTTCCCGCGATCGCAGGGCTTGTGAGATCATTTCGGCAGCCAGACATGTAGACGTACGGACTTTCCAGTGCCTTCTCGCGATTGCAGCAGCTCGTATGGCATTGCAGGTGCCCCAGAAAGTGCCACAGCTGCCAGAGAGGCAGTCAATATCGCAGATATCGTCGCTAGCACAGGCTGGAATTCCTTGCAGCCGCCGGCACCAATGCCTTGTCAGCAATCCTGGCCAGGCACCGCAGCTTCCAGCGCGTCACCCGGTGCAGGTGCAGCGGGAGCGGGTTGAATGCCGGCAGGGATGGCAGTACGGAACAAGCAGATGCCAATGAATGATCATATTGTGCTGCTGGCACGGTTGCAGGTGCCAACGCTGCCAGAGCGGCAGTCGGTTGCAGAGGTATCGTCTCTGGCACAGGCTGCAGACATGTTCTGCTGGTTGGGGCGGTTTGTGACGCTCATGCGCAGATTCCGCCATTTCCAGAGCGTCCACCGCCGCAGGCCAGGATCCCAAGGTTGAAGGTCTCCGGCTGTCCCGTACCTGCGCACCAGATGTTCTGCTTGCCGCATCATCATAAGTCAAAGCTGTACTGCAGGGTTGTACACCATACGGATCGAAACTCGAAGGTTCTATGTGCCAAATTCGGGAGCGGAACTTCTGTTACCTATGTCCTGTTTAAACAGTGGCCCCAATGACGGCCCCTGAAGCTTGCAAGTCTCTCTGGAGGGCGGTCCAACCCGCTTGAGACTTTGTGCGAGTCCGATAAAGATTGCGACGGGTGCAAGGCTCCTCCGAACTTGGTCAGCCACATCGTTGCACTTAGTGTTGCACTTCGTTCTCCAAGTCCTTTCCATATCATCCGATCCTCGTCGGACTGCAGAAGTCAATCATCTGCAATGAGAGCACACTTGCCCGCGGCTTCTATCCAGCGCGATGCCCTGCGGCAAGCAACTGGCGCAGCTTGCAGTCCCTCCCAGTAGATTCCTTTCACCAGGCAGGCAGGTCCTTGATTGCCAGAGGTGCCGCAGCTGCCGGAGCGGCAGCCAGTGGCTGCGTGGCACGCAGAGGCACTCCTTCAGGACTGTTACACAGCACAGTGATGCAGCTGCGAGATGCCGTGATCTTCGAGCTAACCGAGGCATCTTCGCGAGGCTCCATGTCTCCAGTGCCTTGGCGGATTTCGCTTGGCCTTGGTTGAGTTCAGCGCGCAAAGCCGCTTGAGGCTGCACAGATCCAGACGTTTCCGATGCAGCAGGTAAGGCTCCTAAAGTCCTAAATGCTGTCTGCACTTCCTTTTCTGAGGCACTAATATGACCCCACGGCCCCACGAAGGTGAGGGACCCACCAGAACTGGCTGTCCAAGCTGGGGCCTCACGGGGCGTCGTTGCATTGTTGCATCATCGGCGCAGACCAGGGGAATCTGTCGAGCCAGGTGGCCACATCGGCTAGCTTGAGGACATGCGCGAGCTTGGGTACGAGGGGGAGGGTCTGTCACTTCGTGTGATGCTTCCGAGGGCACTTATGGTCTATTTAGCACCGTCATCATGGACTCCTCAGTGAGACGATTTCCTTGCGGCTCTCTCGCCCCTGCTAGTCTTGGGCGACTTCTTACGACATTTTACAACCTGCTCAGCCTGCGAGGAGTGGCCAATTCGTGGAGGGCCACCCCGAAGGCCAGTCGCATTGTGCGATCGCAGAGTGCTGTCGAATGGCTCTTGATCGCCAGTTCAAGCATTTTCGATGCCTGTGGAGTCAATACCTTCTGCCGAGATCTTAGCCGAGCTGTGTTTTGTTGCCTGCTTCGGTGTTGATAACGGGTTGTTGAGGTGTCGTGATAGCACAACTAGTCTAGCCCATCGCCACCACTGCCGTTATGTGTTGTCACGCCTGCTGCTTGGCCTAAACGAGGGACTGTGCAACGTGAGGCTCCGCCCAGACTCATGTTCGGTGTGTAGGGGTCGGGTTCGGCGTTGCCGTGAATGCTGAACCCTGTCGGAATCTGTCGGACACATGGTTTTTAGCGCTTGTCCGGTTGTTCTGTTGTGGACACAGGTGAAGACCCGTTGCGTTGACGTCCAAAGTCCGGCCCTAGAAGGAGCACGAATAAAGAACGAACGCGCACCGATGAGGTGCCGCGGGATCGAGCCACCAGCTTCGCGGCAGCATCAGAAATCCATAGAATGGTGCAGCTCCAGACTCAAGTTTTTGTATTGTGCTGCTGGAATCTGGTTCTGAGGTCAGTGAGACAAGCCCTCATGCCACCTTGCCGGCCCGTACCATCCCGCCCCAAATCTTCGAAGACACGCAATACAAGCATTGTCAAACATGTCAAGTGAATCATGAAAAGACATCATGCTTTTTCGAGCGCTTGTAGAAGTGGACTCATAGCACCAAAACTACCTAAAGAAGGCTGTGAAGGCTGAAACTCCGTTGAAAGTTCTTGTAAACCATCTCTGCAGCGCTTCCAATTGCAAAGCATGCGCTTCAGTCCCTGAAAAGTTCTCTGCAAGATCCTCCTGCTTCATGAAATAGCTTTTCAAAAAGGTCCCACGAACCCTTGATAAACTCCGTAGTTAGCCCTCTTGGACGAGCTGATGGTAATCTTCCAGAGTTTGGAATTTCAGACTTTTTCGGGCTACCGGACCGTGATCGCCGCTTGACCAGAGCTTGAAACCTATGAAGCTCAGTGAGGTGCCTCCATCTCGCGGGACAGGCGTCGTGTGAGAAATTCGGTTGCATGCCTTTGCCAGTGAAGCACTTGACTAAGCTCCCTCCCCCTCTAGCACCTTTCAGCACCGAAATCCTGAAATTTCAGACGTGCTATTCCCAGACACGACTTCCGAGCAGATCTCTGTCAGAACTAGGCCCATCGCCTCCTATGGGCTCTTCGAAACCGACAGATGCCTAGTATGATCATGAAGAAGAGGATGATGACGACAATGATGATGATGATGGTGATGATGATGATGGCAGCAATGATGATGATGCTGATGATGTTGCTGCTGATGATTCTTTTCAAGATGGTCGTGCTAGGGGATGTGTGCGGCTGGGCTTGACAAGGGCAGTGCCACGCTTGAGAGGTCGACTTCGATTCGAAGACTCGATGCTCCACCCCGAGCTTTTGGACCTTGGGTAAGGACATATTTCATGTTTGTGTTGCCAGTCGCTGCCTGCATGGCGGAACATGAGGCCTCGCTTCCGGAGCCAGGATTTCAGATGGAGGCCGTGTGCGGAGTCGGTTAAGGGGGCTCAGAGACACCCAACAAACATGGGAAACTCAATCCTAGTCTCCCTGTCGCAATATCTCACTCTCTCTCTCTCTCTCGCACGCGCTCGCTTGCTCTCCCTCTCCCTCTTGACGATGCTCTGGCACCATCACGAAACATCGGTTTTGGTAGATGCTTGAGTAGACAATCCAATGGATGACGGGACTGACGGCGAGTTCCAGAAACATAGTCCGCTTCATGTCAGGCAAATCACTGTGCAGGAGTGTAACCATGCAGCAGCAGGGTTTGCGCACACGTCAAACAAAATGTGAGGCTTTTCCGCTGTCTTCAACTTTCACCCCCCCAGCCGAACAGCCCAATGCTCACAACAAACGTTGGGTCTTGATCGAGCCTTGTGTGCCGAAGAAAGACAAAGAGAGAGAGAGAGAGAGAGAGAGAGAGAGCTCTCTGGAGGGTCCACGAGAGACACACGCTACCAGTCATCCCGAACGGGGGAACACAGCCCTTTGTTTTCAGGCCCCAATCCTCTTCCCCCAAAAATGGGGGAAGGGGGCGCCTTGGCGCGGCCTCCAGTGGAGCTTTACCCCTGCGAAGCGAAGCGAAGCACCGGACAAGGATGACGCGCACAAATCGAGGCGGGGAGAAACTATGTTCTCTCTCCGCAAGATCAAAGGAAGCGGAGTATGATCGTGACGGGGAAGAGCACCTCGCATCGAGCACGAAGCCTCCACGTGACAAAACCTCGAGTTGGGGGGACGGCCACTACCTCCACGCGGGGAGCTTCAACTATCTCCGAAACGCTGCTCAGAGTTGCAAGGCAAGCCGATGCGGCACAATGGGGGGGGGGAGACAGCCGAGTTCTACGGTGGCCCGGACCTTTCCAGCAGGGGGGAGACCAGAACGTCCACCACTGAAGCGCAAAAGGCGCGGCCTCCAGTTACACAGGAGTGTAGCAAGTCAGGACGCAGGTACAAAGCGTTGCGAGTTAGTACAGGTTTAACACGGGACCGTAACTGCATGTCCTACAGATCTCACACACAGAACATGTACTGGCATGTACTGGCATGTAAGCCTTCCAAAAGAAAGTGTGATGCAGCACCTTTTTTGCAAACGGGGGAAATTTCCTCCCAACATGTGTTGTGCAGTGCCTTGTTTGCGGCAGGGGAGCTTCCACAGGCTAAGTGATGAATCTAAGAACGAAGGACATGAATGAGTGCACTTCAATGCATGGACAATTAAGCACAAACTGAAGGATAGGCAGGCCGCTCTGTCGGTCGTGCAGTGGTCGGTAGGTCGGCAGGCAGGGACTACCGTTTTTCCAAGGGGTGCACACAGCGACAGACATGGAGAAGCAGGCTGGGACGAAGATAGATGCAGAGATACGAAGAGATGGATAAACAGAGAGACACGTGCAGTTGCGAGCATCTCATGCCGGATTTCTGCCGGCTGTCTGGGACTTGAAGCGCGGTCCATTTACAAGCGGCCCTTGAAAACTTGGACTTCTTTCTACCCTTCTGCCCTTCTGCCCTTGGATGCTCTTTGAAGTTTCCTCGAGCTATGACGTGGGGGCCTCGGTACTCACAAGCAGGCGCAGGCGCAGGCGCGGCGCAGCGCCAGTCTGGTGGACGCTACGCGAGCAGGTCGAACAGGGCATTAGAGGGTTCAGGTGTGGAAGTATGGCATAATCTGCTACCGGTAAACGGCAACCAGTAGTCCATTCCACCTACTGAGATTTGCACTATTCCTTTGATTGCGCTGACGGGCTGTGTGTTGATGCAGTGTCGTTACCGACACAGTGTCAAAGCTGTTGCAGGGATCGGAACAATACCTGCTCCTGCTGCCAGCGTGCTGACGCTGCCGCTGTCCAGGCCTTTGCAAGCAACTCCGAAACACTCCGAAAGAGGTTGAATGCAGCCGGAAAGCATTCGCAAGCAGTTGAACACAGCATAACACAGCAACTCCGAACGTAAAGCACCTGAAGTGCTTGCATCTCGCTGCAGTCGGCGGCATCCGGCGGCACAGACAGTGCCACCAACAGTCCCGGCACAGGTGGGGTAAAGGAAGGGGAAGTGAAACCTGGCTTTGTCATGTCTGGAAGCGAGGTGCTTGGCACTGTCGCGGCTCCGGTGAGGTCTGCCAGCTCCAGCTTGAGGCGCCGCTTGTGGCTCGGCCGTCGCAGAGATTTCGAACCCTTTGGGCTCGGCGCAGGCTTCCGGTCTATACAGGTGGTGTGGCTCCAGTGGCTCCCATGGCCATGCCTATCCACGGTTTCTCGGGAGGCACCGGCAGGCCACAGATGGTCGGCGTAGACCGTGTCCTGTTGCCAGGCCAGCCAGGAGCACTACCCGTAGCTCAGATGCAGACCATGCCGATGACGTTTCCAGGCGGGGCCTCGACGAGGGCTGCTTCTCGTGATGTTTTTGACTGCTTGTGCAGCGCGCAGCACAGGCCGGCGGTTCACTTGACTTCCGGCAGCTTGGAACATCGCAGATGCAGCTGCTATGCCTGCCTTTTTTGCCACCCAAGTGTTGTCTTGCGGACACAATATGTGTCGGCGAGACATTGCCTCAACCCATATTCCTTCGATGACATGCAGTCCTTGCTTTCGGTCAGCTGGAAGCTTTTAATAGAAATCTGCATGTCTCGGGCGGGGTTGGGCTCTCTGAAGTGGCGCCGATTCACCAGAAAGCATCGTTCCTCGTCTTCGACGGTGCAGGCTGAGACTAGATCTCCGAAGCCGGAACTTTGGAGCGCTTGCTAAGGCCCCAAAGCTGGCCATGTACCATACATGCACAAAGCATACATATCCAAAATGCCAAAGAGGCAGCTAATGACTTCGGCTGCAAGCATCACCATCTACCAACAAATCACGACAGACTGAGTTGCACTGAATTGGCACTAGAGCAACTTCGACACAGGCTGGCACCTGTTGGCACATGGCTGCTTGCAACCGTCCGAGTGTCAGCACTGTAGATGGATCAGTGCATCTCGCGACGCGCAGCGCAGAAGTGTGGTCAAGCATTGCTGCCTGGTGAGTTTTGCAATGGGTTTTGGGGTGCATATCACGGATTCACACGGACAGGCCGAAAAGAGTCCAAGGATCACAAGACGAGTTGTTGTCATTGCAGCGGCGGTTTCTGCAGAAGGAAGAAAGGGAAGCCCGTGCGGCCGTGCGGCCTCCAGTTTGAGAGTTTACCCCACGCGTTTACTTGCGGTTTTCTGTGTTTGCTGATCTATCCAGCATTTCAGCTGGATCGCTGAAGGAAAAAGGGATGTAGGGTGGGAAGAGAGTCAAGAAGGAAGGAAGGCGGGAAGGAAAGAACAAAGCAATGAAGGATGCAAGGACGAGAGTGTAACGGGAAGCCGGAACAAAAGTCGGACAGGAGGGACGGATCTGGCAACAGAAAGCCAGAACACAAAAACAAGTCACGGACAGGCGCCTGTGACCCCAAACAGCACATGCACCGGAGCCAGGACAACTGGGGAGCCAAGTTCGGGTCTTTTCTCGGCCTTGGGAGAGCTTCGACAGGTTTCCAAGCAAGTATCAAGGGGCTTTCAAGTCTTCAGGGAGTTTTCAGCCGATTTAGGATGAGAAAGAGGGTTAACCTCAACAAAGATCCGAGAATATCAACGAGAAGCTGCAAGATTATCAAAAAGATTATGTGGTAACCTCACTAAGGCTTTTGGGGAACAACATGCAGTTTCATCCTTACTCTTGCCCGACACCAGGATACCAGGGCCGTGTGGCTCCAGTGTTGCCTGAAGGGCGAGCAGTGGCTCCTTCGTAGATGTGGATGGCATGATGTGCAAGTTTTCCATTCTTGCAAAACAAGGTGCTTACAATGAGGATGATGATATCGATGATGTTACATGATGATGATGACGGTGTTGATGATAAGAAAGATGACGATGATGATGATGATCATTATGATGATGAACATGACGACGGCTATGATGATAATGATTATGCCGTATGATGATGACGATGATGATGCTGATGAGTGCGATAATGCTGTTCGTGATGAGTGTGAGGGTCAGCACGAGGATGGCGATCATGAAAATGACATTGTGAGCTTGGATGAGGGTGAGGATGAGGATGATGGGGATCCGGCAGAGGATGAGCATGGAGGGTATGGTGAAGATGACAACAGTTGTGGCTATGCTGAAGATGGCTTGCATGAAGCTTGCTGGCAACACTTTCGGGACATCCTTTTTGGGATTTTTTAGATATATCAGCTTATTGATATCTCACTTGCTTGTCGGCATGTTGAAGGAGCACGGAGACTGAACGACAGCCGCATCACATATCTTCTGAACACAGGGTGTTGTCCACAATGACTATCGACGGATGCTGTGAGCATGTTACCACTTGCTTCCTTACAGCATCTTCGCCGTCACTGCGCAACAGGAGCAGTCGACATGGACAAGCAACGACTCTAGTTTCCTTAGGAATCTATTTCGTCTTCATCATCATAAGACTCCAAGGGTTTCTGAAACATGTTTTCATTACGTTGGTTCAAATCAAAAGCCCACAAGATTGAGAACCTGTCAACCAAAATCATGCCAGGGCGAGGTAGTTCCTCCATGCTTTTTCCTCGACGCATTATCGAGCAATGAAGCTCGTGATCCAGAGGGTCACGCGAGCCAGTGTCGTGATCGATGAGAAGATCCACTCAACGATTGGCAAAGGTTGCTCAGTTGCATCTCGATGAACCGATTGGCGTAGCAAAGCTTACCCGAGGTTTGAGGGCTGCCGTCCACTCAAGTCTCACTAAACCCGCTGACATAACCCTAAGCTTGGCATTTCCCAGTCAATTCCTTAAACACGCCAAGGCTTGCTACTTCTCCTGGGGATCGAGCAAGGCGACGGGCTGGAACAGGTGAACCATTTGGCATCGAAGGTGTCGAAACTCCGGTTGTGGCCTGACCTCAAGGATTCGAAGAAGCAGTGGGCCTCCTCTGTTGTGGACAATGGCTTTGAGCTGATGGTCGTGAGCCAGTTCACCCTGTTTGCAACTTTTAAAAAGCCAAAGCCTGACTTTCACCAAGCTATGGGCGGCAATGAGGCGGAGGGTCTCTATGAGGCCTTCGTGGGCAAGTGCCGCAGCGAGCTGTCCCCTGGCAAAGTCTCCACGGGCAGCTTTGGCGCGATGATGAATGTGGAGCTCTGCAACGACGGGCGTGGCACCCAGCCTGGCATGGTGCAGCATGTGATCCGCACCTCACCCAGCATGCTCACACACAGAAACGTGCAGTGACAAGCCAGTTTGTTGGATCCTCGTCCGAAGACCGCGCACGCCAACAAAACGACGTGTGTCTGTAGGGGCAGCTTTGTGTTCGCTTCCAATCCTTCACGGAAGCTCCAGAATCGAAAGAGACCACGTGACGTCCTTGTCTCCGGGAGCTTCGGCCCTCGAGTTCTGCATCGGGAGATGCCCTCAAGAACCAAGACAGGCCTTCGGGAGCTTATCAGAAGTCGAGCGCGGTTTGTCGGTTTGACCACGCTCGTCACGGCATGCCGCATGTCATGCGCTCGATTCTGCCAGTCTCATTGATGACACAACATAGCTTGCACGAGTTCGCATCGGCTCAGCACGGATCCGCCGACGTCAGCCGGAGCCTCCCCGAGGCCGGTGACGGTGGAGCTGAGCGCTCCCATCACGGGCGCCGCCAGCACGGCCCCGAGCGCTGCCCCCAGCGCAAGCGGGAGCGCCAGCGGCGCCGGTGCCTCCCCGACGGCACGGGCGGCGCGGGCGGCAGGCTGCCGCGATGGAGAACTCGAGGAGAGGCTCGAGCAGAAGCCCTACCTGGCAGGGCGCGGGACCCAGAGCCCAGAGCCTCCGCCTCTCTGAGACTCTTCTTCTGTGCATCGCGAGGTACTTCCCAACAGCTGAGGATGCAGAGTATTTCGCGAAACTGTCGCAGCCTGGAGCGCGGCCCCCGTCTTCGCCGAACTTGTTGAGATGGAGGCTTAACTGCAGTATGGCCATAGCCGCCTGGGCGATGCAGAAGATGGCAAGTGGCTCCCAGGTACGAGCATGTGGCTTCCTTCTCGGAAGCCGAGCGCTCCCTTTGGACCGGCTGACCGAAAGCTGCGGTGTGTCACTGTCAGGTCTTGGGCGTTTCCAGGAGCTTGGTGGCTTAGTCGCTTAGAGAGCCTCGGAGCTTCGACGCGACCAGCAATTGCTGGTGCCAGCGCCGCCAAGTTGCTAGGTTACGTCACGGATGTCACGGCCAGACGCAGGAGCCGCGACAGCCGCGACAGACTGGGGACGGTATGCGACGGCGTCGACGGCTAACAGAAGGGCTCAGATCGTGCCAGTCCATGTGGCACTTCCACACCCCCCGTAGAGTCCCCTTCAGTGCTTCGGCTCAAGAGGCCCTCGTAGATCCCTCTGGTTTCCTTCAACTTCCGTCCTGGCACCTGCACTTGCACCCTTGGGCTCCCTTGTCTTAAGCATCATGGCAGAGGCTTGGTCGGAAGGCTGCGATGTGATGTCCGTGCGGGTACTGCGCAGATCTGGGAGGCTGAAGAAGTGAAAGAAACGATCGTTGAGGAAGAGAAGGCCTCGATCCAGGTGCCTTCTTTTCGGCATCTCGAGATCCAGATCAGCTGACGAGGCGGAAGGCGACAAGGCGTCCGTCGCGAAGCCAAAAGCGAAGGTGCCACGGTGCCACCCTCTTCCCGCTTTAAGATCATTGAAGGCACTGTTGGCATGAGGCCAAAGCCAAGGCAAAGGCCAAAGCTAAAGCCAAGGCCAAAGCGAAAGCAAAGGCCAAGGCAGCAACCTTTGATCTGCTAGCAAAGACGACGGCATGTGAAATCCTGCTGCCGAAGGCAAAGGCCAAAGGCAAGGCCAAAGCCAAAGGAAAAGCAAAGGCCATGAAGTGCATAGGTCCTACGTCGCTGTGATGGAGCTCGGAGCGATGCGCTGCGCAGGCGAAGGCTAAGGCAAAAGCAAAAGCGAAGAGCAAAGCCAAGGACCAAGTTTCTGATGCGCAGGGTCATATGCGGCTGTTACTCGTGTGAGGAAGAACGGGCGTGGGTTTTGACTTGAAATGGCTGCGGTACCCACTCATTGGGGCAGCTCCAACGAGGAGCCTGAAGAAGACAAGCCTGCTGACGAGGCCTGCAAGTCAGCCGTCAGCCTGCAGATCAGCACACAGTGCCGGGCTGTGACAAAAGCGTCGAGGCGAAGCTGAAGCCAAAGCCGAAAGGAAAGCCACTGAGTTTGAAGGCGAAGGCCGGGGAAGGTGTAGTACGAAGTGATTTTACAACCAGTCCGGACCGGCTTTCCACCTCGTCGCACAGGTGACCCAACTGCTGGAGGGACGGGGCATCGACGAGGTGCCACGAAAGCAGTGGGGCAAACGGGTCACGCGGAGCGAGTCGTGTGTTAGTCGTGCGTGGGGTGGTGTCCTTGGCAGCTCAGGTGTTGGCCGAGATCCAAGAGCAGCTGGCGGCATGCAAGGCCAAGCACCCTGGCCATCGCGAATGTGAAAGCGCAACGTCGTGACAATGTGTTCTCTTCTGGCCGAAAGTGAGTTGTGGCTTGTGCTGGGGCTGGAGCCTTGCAGCCCCGCTTGGAGGCGGCAGTGGAGGAGGCTCAAGGCCGGCGGCTAGGGCGGAGACCATCTCGGAGCCTCTTTCACCCCCGGAGCTGTACTAAAGTGGTAGCGCGAGACTGAAACCCCGCCCAGAGACCGCGAGCTTTCCGACTCGCTTCCTTCCTTGCAGCTTCGGCTCGACCTTATTACTTACATGGAGTAACCGTCGTTGGACAGCTTTGTCCAACAGTGCCTTGGACGTCTTGATGAGCCGATAGCGAGAGACCAAGAGCAAGACAAGACAGTTCATTCATGACGGCAGGCCTTCGCATTCCGTTTGCTTAATCTCAGCTCCGACGCTGCCATCTTGTAAGCTGAGGACTATCCTACCGCCATGCTGCTACTGCAGGCATCTGTCCGTTGTCGCTCGAGCTTTAGCTGCACATTCACCACGGACCGGCTGCATAGGCTTTGTATTCCTTCGTCCTGGTCTGCGTTTTTGCAGGCCCCCGCCAGGAGTGAAAGTGAAAGCGTTTCATGTGAGCGACTGGCAACTGGAGTCTTCAAGGGCCTTGGGCAAAGCGCAGTTCCACTCGGGTTGTGCAAGGGTGGCACTGATCGGGAGCATGGTTGCTTTGTGCAGGTCGCCCACAAACCGAAGTCTGCGACAGCTACGAAGGCTTCCTGTGTAGGTACGAATCTTCATGAACGTCTTGCCTCGGACTGCGCGTTTTTGTTTGCCGGACCTCTAGCATTGGTCCTGTGGTCCTGGTCGTTCAAGCGAGTTGGTGCAGGGCACGCGGAAATTGTAAGACAGTCACTTCGTGGGTGAGAAAGTGTCAGACAGGCACTTCAAATATGGCTCAAGTCTTTGTGACGCCTCACAGGCCCTGAACAGCAGCGAAGCCTTCTGCAAGTAGCTCACAGAGAGCGATCGCAGGAGCTCTGGTTCCAGGCATGTTGGTTCTGTGCACGTAGCCCGCAGCTCAAGGAGGGCGTAGCACACGGACCCCGAATACATCTGGGAGGGCTGAGCCCTTACCGCAACCTCTGTGGTTGCAGAGCTGAGTCAGCCCACGGCCTTCGCTGTTTGAAGAGTGCCAAGGCTAGGACACCTCGGCGGCCACTGGCACAGGCAGAACGTGTTGGTCTCCTCCTGCGGCAAACACATCGATGCAAAGCAGGCCTGAGGAGGTGCAAAGCGAGGATGAGTCGCTGTGTGAGAAGGACATGCGTGAGCCATCCAATCGCAGTTGACAGTTGCTGTACCTTCGTGTGGCAGTTCACGCCAGGACATTTTTGCACGGCCTGAGCTGTGCCCCAAGGCCGGCTTTGGTTTGCTCTCAGTTTTCTGCTTTGCTCACTGTTTCTTATCACCGTGCCAAGGTCTGCCCGTATGCTGCAGAGATGAGCGATAAGTTGCTCGGCGCGGCATGCCTTGGCACCTTCACTCCCGTGGCCCTGACACGTACTTCGAAGTTCTGAATTGAAGAGAGGTTCTGCCATTTTCGGTGCGTCAAGAAGGAGGACAGGCTGCCGCTTTGTTGGCGCTGCGCAGAAAGTTCAAGCAACACGGAAGCTTTGCCGCTTCGCCTCCCCGCACACCGAGCCGGCTTCCTGCTTGCGCGCGTGGGCATTCTGTGTGTACATGAACCGCCTTGGCTATCAGAGGTTGCCAGCATGAGAAACAGAGTTGGCTCGGGCTTTCATCGTCTGCGTGGGGCTTTGGGCCTCGCCTTGGCTCTGCGAATGAGAGGCCTAAGAGCGTGTCGCGGCCGGGGGCACGCTCTCAGCACTTGTCACCTGAAACGACGCAGGAGTGCGGCCTTCTTGGAACCGTGGAGAACGCTACCATTCCGGATGACAGGTGGTCGGCTTGTTGATTCCGAAGTTGAAATCCTCAGGAAGAAGCCTAGGTCGAAGCAAGACCGTCCACTGAGGTTGATGCTTTGTCGCCACTGTGCCGTCGAAGGCTGTGCCCGCTGTGTTCCCGGAAGCCCAGGACAGAGCGGCCGCTCAGCAGCCATTCGAAAACGTCGGACAGAGCTGAGTCTCAAGAAGGGGTTCCGTTCCCCCCGAGGCGAAAAGCTGGAACATTGCCAGCAGTGCATGCCTGGACGCTTGGCATTGCATTCCCTCCCAACATGAACTAATTGCCGAGTTGCTCTGCCAGACCTGACTAGCACCCGATACGCGTAAGGCGTAAGACTTCGGGCTGGGCGAGGGAGTCAGCCTGGATTTGACTTAGAGCCGGCTTGTGCTTGCTGCAGACGTTTTGGTTGCCGGTTGCAGGAACAGTTCTGAGCTTTTTGGTTGCATGCGCTCTGAATTCGACGTGGTGTCGGGGGTTGGGCCCGTTGCGGAGCATGCCTTGCTATTCTGTTCTTCAGAAAGCATTCCCAGCCCAGGCTATGGGCTGACTGCAGAGGGTGAGTGCGAGATGCACGGCTTAGAAATCTTCATCGGTGCTGCTGTGGTGCTGGTGACCCTTGTCCGCAAGCTGCTGTACGTGTTGCTTCTCTCCTGGCCCTTCGGCCCGCGAGGATCGTGACCATTCTTGTTGTGGTCTGGTACTGCCTGATCGCATCGAAGCCGTGCGTCAATCCGGAGGGGGTCCAGCACCTTCGGCGGCGCACAGGCAGACTGTGATGGACCCGGATGTCGCGCCCCGAAGTTTCTAAGGCATGGTCTGGAGTGCAGGGAGCGGATGCGGCTCACGCAGCCGAGGTCCACGGAGCCGTGACCTTGCATAGGAAGAAGATCGGATGAATGCTTCACGTGCTCTATTCGTAGCTGTCTCCAGGTATCCGCTCTCGACCAACTTGCTTCGTGAAAATGTAGCTGGTCCTGGCACCATGGCTCCTCGGCAGATGAAACAGTGAGGTGAAGAAGACTAGAGCTCCGGTCGTGATCATCGAGTTTAGTTGCGCAAGCTGCAGGAGCTGCGCAGACTGTAAGACGGACTATTGTGAGAGCGAGGGCCCTGCTAGCATGTACTCTCCAGGCTTTGTTCCGCTACCAGTTCGCCCTGCTGGTTTGGGCGAGTGGCTTGTTAACGGCTTGGCTGGGCTTCGTGCTCTTCGTCAGCTCGGATTTGCTCATACTTGGCAGCAGAGAAGCAGCTGCTTGGACAAAGTCTAGCTGTAAGCAGCTCTGGCAATTCAGACATGGGCCCATGGGCATGAGTCGGCGAAGGAAAGCCCGCAGATGCTGTGTGCGGTCATTGCGTGGGGCCACGCGCGCCAGATGGATCTGGTTTGGACAAAGGCAGCGCTTCGTTTTGAGCTATGTGTGCTGTGGGTCAAGAGTCAAAACCATCTGCATACGTGGGCGGCGTGCCACGTCAGACCAGGGGTTTGCATGGTCGGGCCTGAGGGCACAAAAGCCGTTCAGAAACGACTCCGAAAAAAGCTTGTCCTTGAGTGGCGACGTTCTGCAGGTGTCCTGGCTGGTGTTTGCCTACCTTTTTTCCTTTGGCGGAGCCGTGTTCTATGGCATTCAGCAGACCAAGCTGTTCAAGAGTGTCCACACCGAGCATGCCACCATGCAAAGAGTCTTGGCACGTCGTACTTCTGCAGGAGTGTGTTGGTCTTGATGCGTGTATGGAATACGCTTTGTATTTTGATGTCAACTGTGCCTGCTCTCTTTGTCGCGGAGTGGAGCGGAGGGCTGCTCCGCTGTCTTTGGGTTCAGGCTTTGCTGCCAAGCTGGAAGGTTTTGCGCCCATGACCGGTCAAGAGCAGGCCGAGGCCGTGCCGTAGCCCAGAGAACTCCGCTGCTCTGCTCGGCTCCTCACCGCTCCTCACCGCACCGCATCGCACCGCATCGCACCGCTTGTCGAAGGAAAAGCTCAAGGAGGCGATCACAGCTGCCATTGGGAGCGAGCCCGTGGGTGTCTCCGTGGCCTGGGACCGCCTGCGCGTGCTCTGCAGAGCGCTGCGAACGTTGCGCTGTCGGTGAGGGCTCGTGTCGCAACGGTCGTTCCTTTGCACTCGGAGGACTTTGCCTCCAAGAGGCACTTGGTAGAGGCTGTCCTCGACCAGGAGTTTGGCGAAGGCCGCTGTCGCCACTGTCTTGTCTCTCTTTGGCCTGGGCCTGGTCGCCTGCCGCCTGCCTGCAGAGGACACACCGGTCAGCACCAGAGCTCTCCGGAGACCGAGCCGATCGCATCTGGTGCCCTCAACAAGGTGCCTTGCAACATCGAAAAGGAGTTTAGGGCCAGGGGCCATGCTGCGATGGGTTCGCAGGCTCTGTGCCCTGTCTTGTGACTTAGGCCGAGGAGTGGGCCACAGACATCGTGCTTCACGCCTGGTCACTGTGCCGCAAATGATCTCAGCTGCAACGTTTCCACGAACAGTTAGCTTCGTGTGACTTTCACCACGCCGCGCCTAGGCTCGTCTGTGAACTTTGCTGTAGCATGCCTCTGCAAGACCCGCAGGGCCCAGAGAACGCACGAGATGCAAGAGAGATGCATTTTCTTAGAGCGCGGTGCGGCAGATGAACGCACGAGACTCGATCGGGTACATGGGCAGGGTGGTGACCAGTTACTGTGTCAAGTGGAGCATAGCGTTAGAGAGTCTTCAGGGCTTAGCATGCAACACACATGTCAGTGTGCAGATCCGAGGCATGTACATCTCGAAGAGCATGCTGTCAATGCATCGGAAGCTAGGTTCAGCACTAGTTGGTGACCTCTTGTTAACTACACCATACATCCCCATCTTCCTATGAGCCCAGGAGATCAAGACCATGTTGGACGAGATGCAGCTAGCCGAGCCATGCTGGGCGAGACGAAGAGAGAGAGAGAGAGAGAGAGAGAGAGAGAGAGAGAGAGAGAGAGAGAGAGAGAGAGAGAGAGAGAGAGAGAGAGAGAGAGGAGGGAGGGAGGGAGGGAGGGAGGGAGAGAGAGGGGGGGGGGGCCCTGGACGCTGGCCCAACCCCTACGCCCGGTAGAGAGAGAGAGAGAGAGAGAGCTGTGCGCTGCCCTTGACCGGATGCAAGCAAGAGAGAGAGAGAGAGAGAGAGAGATGTAGTTTGAGTTGCGAGCCCCAGGACTCCTGATAAGGTGGCTATTGTAATGTACCCTTGCGAAGGCAAGAGAGATGAGAACCGAGAGTCCATCCATCGTGACAGGGCCAGTACAGGGCCTGTGGAAACTGCTTGTTGAGGTCTTCGACATCTACAGCATACGTGATTTTCTCTTCACAGGATGGGTCCGAAGAGTCATGGTCAGACCTTCAGCAGGGTCTACCAAGCACACATGCGCATGTACAGGACTGTGCCATGAACACACTCTTAGACCTGTCCCGTCTTGGAAGCTAAGTATCATCGAGTTTACGTTCAAAGGCATGAAGCAAGAATCATGCCACGTGAAGAATAACACATCCGAGCAAATGTAGTCTAGTGCACGCGTGCACGTGGTGACATGTACGAGCGGCAGCAGCAAGATTGAATGCCGAAGCTGCTGGCCGCTCGAGAGGAATTCAGATTTTCAGCGGAGCGCCGTTCTGTCGACTGGTGCAGCTGGTCCTCTTCACCCTTTCGTGTCGCTATGGACGTCTTCGCGAAGATTTTCGAGTTGTCGGACGAGGATCTCAAAGTTCTCCTGTGCTCCGTCGGCTCGGTGGAGTTGTGACGCATGTTGGGGATAGGGATGCGCACTACGCCACACGCATCCGGCTTCGTGATCAAGCTCTCGAGTTCGCGAAGCAGACCATGGCAGCACACGGAGTTGTGCCACCGCTCGCGCCGCTGGCTCCCCTTAGCAAGTCGAAGGGTGCGGGCAAAGGCGTGGACCAGGGCGCAGCCTGCTGCTGGTGCTGCGCAGGCCATCCCGCAGCAGACCCAGCCCGTGGGCAAGCCGATGCCAGCCGCCCCGTCACCTACGACAGTACGCCGGTGCCGAAGACCTCGAGTACGACACCGCCGGTGACTGAGGCCAAGATGGGAGCAAAGCCCGCGACGATCACTCAGCTGCAGTCTTTGACGCCTACCGCCCAGCAGCCAAGGCAACCGCAGAGACGGCGCCGAAAGCCACAGCCACGCCGCCGCCGCCGCCGCCTACAATGCACCTGCGACGTCGGCCGCATCCTCTCGACGGCTATGTGGACACTGCCGCAGGACCTGGAACTCATGGAGGCAACGCCAGCGCCGCGCCCGAGCTCGAGCACGGCAGCGCCTTCCCCGAAGAGTCCCTGGCCCTCTCCCGAGAGCTTCTTCGACGAGCTCGTGCCGGACATTAAGTTGCACCGCAAGGCAAGAGCCCGCTCCTCTCCCGCCACCGGCGATGCAGTCGGCGATGCCACCTTTTCCGCCCAGCAGCGACAGAGAGGACGACGACCCGGACGATTCAGAGGACCAGGACGACGACGGACCGCCAGATGATATCCAGCCCATGGTGGTCGAGCGCAGGGCCATAGCCTAGCTGAAGTGCTTCGCCACCCGCCCGCTGACTGGTCTGGGCAGCGGCACTTCGACCTCTGTTTCGCCGAGCACAACTGGCGGGTTCTGGCAGGGACAACCAGGACTGGCGCCTCAACAGCCGGCTGAGCATGGCATCGGGCTTCTACGATGGAGCCTTCGACACGCCCCGCCGAAGACTTTACCCTTCAAGCATTAGGCGCACTCGGTGCTCTACGCAGACACCTTCTTCAACCTCTTCGAGAAGGACTGGAAGCCGGCGGACGCGAACCTCGTGCATTGGGCCAATTGGGCCGGAGACGCTTCGCAATGGCTGCGGCTTTGTGGTGACAGTGCAAGGAACACCTTCTTCGCTCACGGCTCCATTCCCTACTGGTTTGTGCGCGAATTTTGCACGCGCCGAGCATACATATACTTGCCCGGAATCGTGGCGCAAATCATCCCCTTGCTGGCCCTGCGCGACAAGATCGACGCCATCATGTTCATTGACATCGAGCCAAGCACGTACTCTTCAAGGGATTCGGGAAGGATGACTCCATCAACTGTCTGCTCAAACGCAGCTGGAGCACCATCGAGGAGTTGTCGCTCCGCCCCGCTTGCAGCGAGTGACTTGAGAAGCTATGGTCAGCGACGCAGTGAGTGAGTCGAGGGGATCTTCGCCACGCTCGTGCAGAAGGCTGGACGGTGGGAGTCGCTCTTCGAAGAAGTTTTGAGGGGCAAGGTTTGGCGGTTTTTGGCAGATGGCGATGACAACGCCGGCGGAGCTGACGACGCAACAATTCGATGTAAACTGCAGAAGATCACGGCGAAGAAGCCGGGCATTCGAGCAGGTCTTGAAGCATTTGGTTCAGCGCCTCATTGCAGAAGATACCAGCGAGGGCGACGACTAGCACGGAGGTTGGACGACGTCTCGCTTACCAACAAAGCTTCGGGCCACTACCACAGCCACAAGGCTAGGTGGCGCCTTGCATTACCGAGTACCCATCTGCATCTCGCATCATGTCAAAACAACCTGGCACCGGTGCACATGTCGCCTGTGCATGCCACCGCTCAGGCCCAGTAGCAAAATCTGAACGTGCGAAAAAACGACCACGGCTATGCCCACCTCGTCTTGAGCTTCGTCTTCGGCCTGCATGTGCCATACGGCAATGGGGTTCGCATCCCTATTTTTCAACCAGTCTAAGCGGCAAAGGCTGGGCTTTGACCTATGCCGCACAGTGTTTGTCGACCATTCAGTCTTGTATCGATTGTAATAGTTCGTCCGCATAATATCTGCTGGCGTGCGAGCACGAAAAGCTCGGATTGCAAGACGAAGTCGGTGACAACGCCATGGTCATTCGCCTTCTCGCCAAACGGCACATTGGCCAAAAAGAGTGGCAACACATCATCAAGGCTTTTGGCGCCAACGCAAAATTGTGGCTTGGCATCTTTGGTCCGTGACGGCATCTTGCCGTTTGACTTGCACGATACTTGGCCTGGGGTTGGCAAGTTTGGGACGCAGACAAGATGATTTGCGAGGGTTTGTGTGGGCCAGATAATTCTGCTGTGTTTGCGGTCATTCCTGGTAACCTAACATCTTGAACTATTAGGCTGTTCGGCATATGCACAGAACGCAGCAGCCGCACAATTAGCGGCTTGTTTGCACGTCCCATCTCCTCTTTCAAAAATGCAACCTGGAACAATCTCAAAATTTTTAAACTGCTGAACCAGGTTCTTTTTTTGTTTTGTTTTTTTAAACATTCTGTCAATGGTATCCAACATACAATTATGTACAACTCTCACAAGCCTAATTTTCCGTAATAGGAGAGGAGAAAAGGCATTACGTTTGGCCATGCCCGCCATGTCGTCCTGATGTACAAAGTCTCGTTGTTGGCAGCCAAACAGAATCCAGACTCCCGGTTTCGTGAATCGAGTTGTGGCAACTCTTCGTTACCCCGACACCAACACAGCATGAAAAGTTTCGCAGTGCATGCAGTAGTTCAGCCAAGCGGTTCACTCATGGCTTGTGCAGGAGACACGGTTGCAGGCCGTCCAGACTGCGAGTGACGGCGGCATCAGGGTGGGAGGCCTGCCCCAATAGCGCATCTTCGGCCATGCCGAGACTGTCGTCGTGTCGTGTTCTGCCGTCCCACCGCTCCTTCTCCAGGACGGCCGTGTTCCTTGACGGAGTGCTACTGGGCTGCACGGCGCTGCACGGCGACAAGTCGCACTCATGAGCACACTCGGACGAAAGACATCAAACAGGAAGTAAGGATAGCTTGCATATACAAATTCCGTTAGTTGCACATGCTTGCGCTTTTCCGTTTCTGAGGCCAGTATGCGCCAGAAGGCCGGCTAAAGTTTTTGAGTCGTCCCAGCTCAGATCAGACTGCTGCTGCCACCATTTGTCAGCTGTTTTTCAATGCAGGTACTGCTTCACCCGATTTAACACGCAAGTCACCGTGACTCCGTCCGTCATGTTGTATTGTGGAAAGGCCTCTTCTGGCAGAACATGGCTGTCACGCCGGAGCAGAGAAGCGGCAAAATTGGAATGGCGATACTGGTCTTAGCCTTATGCAAAACACACGTTTCAGCCCTGACGAAAGCAGGAGTGCGACATTGGGCGTAAGTCAGAGAAACGGTTGGACCGTTTTGAGCTAGAGGCCCTGGTGGCATCCTGCGCAATCTGGACTTTCCTGCTGTACATTCCCTATGCGACGCTTGCCTGTGTGTAAAGGGAAGTCTTTAGGCTGTGTTCTCGGAGGTTGTCGGGTCTTTGGGCTTGCCTGGGGCTGCGATGCCAAGCCCAGTTTCCAAGCGAAATCCATCCATAGCTTGACCAGCACAGGTACTACATGGCTTCCTTCTCTTATGCGAACGGAGATGAGCCCGGAGAGTTTTCTGAAGGTCTTTTCATCTGCAGCTTGGACTGAACTCCCATGCGGCCGAGAGCGGGCCCCAACGTGCCTTTCCAAGGCCTCGTCGTCGGCTCGCAGCTGGGGCTCTTCGTGGTCAGCTCCATGGGTTGCTCCCTGAGGAAACACGTATCCTGGTATCCCGATTGCTGTCGTGACATCATCCGACATCCTCCTCCGTCTGCATTGTCCAGGCGCCAAGCATGCATGTTTCCACAGCGAAGACGAGACGCAGAAGGCCTAAATACATTCGGCCATCTCATCTAAATGGCCTTGTGATGTCTTTCGATGGCATGTTGCTGTCAGAAGGTTTCACGAGGTCACAGGCTCTGTACTGTCTGTGGTGTAGCAGGCCTACACTATGTTTTACAACGCCGCGTTGTGCCTCTGTTGCAAGTGTGGGGCTGTGGGTCTTGCTGCTGCTCATTGGCGAACACGGGCCCCGGAACTAACTGTTGTGCTGCTTCCACAGGCGTTGTAGCCTGTACACCTACATGTAGTTATGTGTATGCATCACTTTATGATTTTCCTTCCATCATAACTGTTGTCCAATGTAACTCAGACATACTCAGACCGAAACTTCTCCGGTCTCAGGATATTGAATCTTGTCATGGACATCGCTCTGCAGACCTACCTTAGCCCTTCGTCAGCATTTGGTGTAGTCGCTGTCTGTGTCGACTCATGGCGACTTTGTTGTTCGGACGCCATCTGTCACAAGCCGTTAGGCTACCTTCAGATGGTGGGAGTTGGCGCTCACACTTCAGATGGGCGTTTACTTGGCAGCCTAGAGCCTTGGCTTTGGATTTTCCTGCCCAGCTGATTGCAGCTTCACCCTGGCCCTTGCTTGACAAGGCAAGTTGGTAAACAAGCATGGTGGCTCTAGTTTTTGCAGCGGAAGGGTTTGTGTTAGAACCGGCACTCGTATTAAGCAAGCAGGGTGCGTGATATTCATGATATCGCTTTAGCATGATTTCAATATGCCCGTTAGAGCATGAACATGGATAGTGCTTTGCACGTGCATCGCGAGACGTCTTGTGGGAAAATGTGGACTCGATAGCTGACGTCGAACCACGGAAGTGGTTGGGTCTTGACGCCTCTCACGCGATTGGGCCTGATTGCTCGTGAGCGCGTGGAGGTGCAGCAACCTGTGAGGAGCCAGGGCGTGTGTGCTTGTTTGGGGTCTACATGTGGGGAGTGGGTGAGAGCGGAGGCTGGGGGGGCGGTGGGGGGGGTGTTCGGAGGGGAGCGAGGGGAGAAGGTTGGAGTCAGTTGTCTTCGTGCCCCATCATAAAGTCTTATACCGGTTTTATCTGTACAGTCATACAGTCCCCAGCAGGACACAAATGCTGTTTAGTGGGTGTGGGAGTCTCTGCGAGAGCAATGCTGAGATTTTTTCGACCCAAAATGCCCAGAAAAGATGCCACTCGGGAGAGGGCAGACAAGGCGGTTGGGTATATTCGTGACCTGCTCGCTTTTCACTGTATTGCTTCAGCGTTTGTTCATGTTGTTTTCATATCTTCCCCATGTTCGTGGGCATATAGAAATCGTATCGAATCTAGTCCATGCTTTTCTAAAGGAATGTGAGCATCATATGAAGCAACGTATGATCCCTTTCCTTCCCCACACTCGCTCCTTGGTAGGCAAAGACTTCTGTTGCACATTTTTAGCTTGAAGTCGCGTGGTTTGGCTTGCACACACAAACATAGATACATACATACGTACAAGTAGGTTACTAGCAACTAGTACATGCATACATCCATCATGCAATGCATTTACCCTTGGCAAATCTAGGAGCAAGACCAATCAAGGACAGAGTAGATGCCAAGCAGCATGCCAGGTGCAAAATTACTGTAATTGGTGGCCAAGTTTGCATGGTCAAGCCAAGGAAGCCTCGAAGCACCAGGTCTTGTTTTGAACCAGCATGTGCCTTGTTTAAGGACAGTTTGCAGCAGATCTTCGAGTCATATCCCATCCAGAAGTCGGTGGGTAAGCTTCTCTTCGTGCAACACGGCTTGACAGAAGTTGCAAGTAGAGACAAGTGGATGTTACCAAGCCCCTCCACGAGAGGCAGAACGCCTGCTGAGCCGAACTTGAATATGGATCGGGATTCGGGGCAAGATGGAAACGTAGTGACAGATGCTGTTGAGGAACTCGGCTTTCAGTTCAGTTCAATTCATCGATGAGGCCAACAGGTGGCTTTCTGCGAGCTTGCAGACTGAACACTTGCCTTTTGCGGGACGGTCAAACAGAAATGGTGTGCAGTAAGGAGTCGTCTGCGAATTCTGCGAGGCGAGAAGTGCAGTGAAAGCATGTGACAAATGCGGCACCCTTTCAGGTACTGCTGGCCCTGCACGTTCTTCGTACCTTTCTTGGCAGAGCCTCTGGCTGTTCAATGGTTGCCAAAGCATTTGGCCCAGAGCCTCTGGCTGCAAAAGGAGACTGCTGCATGCTGTAAGCTCTTCGCGAGACCGCTCCGTGAACAAACGCTTTCCTGCTTTCCGACCGCTGCATGTTGCTCCTGTAGGTACATCGTTGGAGCGAACAAGAAGATTCAAGGAGAGAACGCGGAGAAGGCAAAGCCAGCAGGCAAAGAAGTGTAGAGTGGAGAGCCCTACCAACATCGAACCCGCAGGCGCTGGAGCTGGGGGAGATGGAGCAGGGCCGATATGCCGACCTTCAGATGCAGAGCTATGATCTCTCTCTCTCTCTCTGTCTCTGTCTCTCTTCTCTCTTCTCTCGACGGGCGAAGATATGCGACTGTCTCACTGACGTGCAAGGATTGCATCTTCAACGTGATCCTCCTTAGCTGCATTCCCTTTATTTCGCCGGCTTACCTCGCCATGACACTTTCTGCGCCCCTCGAGAGCACAGGCTTAGGCACAAAAGCGGAGTTCTCAGGATGCTCCACCTGAGGTTGATCTTCTCGCATGGCTACCTTTATATTTACGACCAGATCAAGGCGGATCTAGTTCAATCTCATCCTGCCCAAGCTTGCTGAACACTTTGAGCTACGAAACCAACTCCCCCGTTTTGGGAGAGGGATGGGGACTTGAAAGGGGTCTTTGCCTTGGCCTTATCGATGTGGCGGTCGATGATGATGATAGTCCCGCATGGCATGTGCCCTTTCCACAGGTGCTGCGGCTTGTCCGCAAGTTCAACTTCAGCGACCCTGAGGCAAGACACCTAGCTTTCGCGGCCCACAACAGCTACCAGTGGCATAGCAACATCGAGCACGAACAAGACCGCAAGACGCATCGGAAGGACGGTCGCGGAAAAATGTGTCGCATGCGATGCACAGGTGCATTGGCTGGGCATGCAGCTGTTTGCCATCCCATGCAGCATCTTCGCCGGTGCGTTGGTTTTCAAGGCTTCGGGCTCGTGCTGTGGAAAAGCCTATCACAAGGCGCTTTGGCCTCACGAGGCTAACCAGATGTCCAGCAAGTCTGGGGTGCTGGGGTCTGGCTACTTCCAGGCGCACTAGAGGGTTTTAGGGGTGCGGCAGGACCCACCTAACCACAGATTCGTTGCCGCAGGGTGGTTCCCTGCTCGCTGCAGTCGTCGGAGCCGCGGCGCTTCACTTCGTGCTGCACTTGGCAGTACTGGAGCTGGTGCCTGTGCTGCCGTTGGTTTGAGTCAGACCACAGCGAACATCATAGGAAGGTCCTGAAGCTGCCTGAGAAAATCGCAGGTAGTCAAGCCCATGGGCCAGGACTGAATGTGGGGAGTAATCATGCAAGCTTGCCTGACCATAATCTGAAGTTGTGGCAAGCCGCGAAGAGGCTGTGAGGGCCTATGTCATGTGTGGTGCTATAGTGCCCTCTGCATCAGAGCATCCTTAATGTGGCCGGGCCGGGAAGACTATAAAGCACGATCTGAGCAAGTGCGATTCATCAGGAGCACCACTTGAAGTCCAATGCGCTCTATGCAGCGGCGGCTCGGGATTGTCCTGCCACATACCTGTCCACAAATCCCATCTTCTGCACCGTGGCCGCACATTGACATGTGGCTTGAGCTCGGAGCACCAGATTGCAACATGGAGAAGTTCTATCATTGGCATGTCCTCTCCTTGTTTCTTGCAGCAGTGGTCTCCATGCATCCTACATAGTGAGGTCTCCGGTCAAAGTACGTATTGGGCCACAACCCACCGCAGGCAGCAGAGTCCGGGAGACGTCGCACCAAAATGTTTCATGTCCGCTTCCTCGCCAGATGATGTACTTCCCCGGGAAGGAGCACCTAATGCAGCCAAATGAGTCGTGCCCTGTCTGCCAGTGTTTCGGCTTTGGGGGCTTCCTGCCTTTGAAAATCAATCAGTCGTGAAAACCGCAGCATATATCAGCATCAAGTGCAGTTCCTACTTTACTGGTCCAAAACCGGTGTCACATGCTCAAGAATCTGCAAGGATTCCCGCCTACTACCAGGGCCCATCCAGCAAGTCTTGAGCCGGCTAAAGTTGCTGCATGTGATGGCGTCTTGAGCAGGGCAGCGGGCCTGGCATAGCCGGCCAACGAAGTCCGCAAACGAACCATCCCAATTGAGTGCTGCAGATCTGAGTTAGAAAAGTCTGCCCGACACAACCGTTGTCGCTCATGCACGCGCACGGCAAGCCTTCAAACGTCCTGCACCGGAAGGCAAGGAGCAGCAGCTGAACCAGGAGGAGGAGGAGGTCCGAGAGCCCGAAAGGATGAAAAGCCCCGGGTGCCGCAGAATCGCAGAGTGCCGCATGCCGAGGCCCAACAGGCCATCAGCCAGGCCTCTCAGAGGCGGGAGGGTGCACCGGTGAAAGCGCGCTGCAACCAACACGCTCAAAACAGTTCTTTCAACTGCAGGGTGGAGGAAGCGGTGGCTCGCGAGGCGGTTGCTGTCGAAAAGCTGAAGGCCGGGTTGGTCGGTCCGGGCTTTGTGCGGCTGAGATTGGCTGTAGACTCCCTGTCCAGGCTGCAAAACTCGCAAAAGCTGAGGCTGCAGCCGAGACCCACAAGGCCGGGCTGGCGGATTAGGCGTATCCCTTGAACTGTCGGTCCTGCCACAGGCATCTGCCGGCCGAGGTGATATCGAAAAGACGGCAGGGAGCTGAGAGGCTGGGGGGCGGGGTTGGCTCACATGCGACAGTGGCAGGTGAAGATTCTGGAGCTGCATATGGAGGGCAATCAGAAGGCCTGGCGGCCTGGCGGCCATGCCGCGCCTGCCGCGCCTGGCCTGTCTGCCCCAGTCAGCCGCGCAGCTGAGGTGCAGGAGCTTCAGCAAGCGAAGAAGAACACGGCCGAGGCTGCCGAGGCCGCGAAGAAGGCGTGCGAATGCCGAGCCCCGTCACTGTGCGAAGGCTAGGCTTCTGCTGGAGTGGTTTGCACTTCGTGCGAGGCTGCCGAAGAGGCGAAAAAGAAGGAGAAGGAGTTGCTGGAGGCGCCCTTTGCCTTGGAGCCCGGATTCAGCTCCACATTGCTCCCCATGATGCAGGCTTCAAAAGTAGCTCTCCAGGAGTGGCCTCTGCTTGTGTGTTGCGTGTGCTTGTGCTCTGGTGCCTGCTGAGCTTCAGAAGCGCTGATTTTGTCCGGACGGACTGTCATGCACATAGCGACAGGAGCAGAAAGAAAAGGCAGTGGAGACGTTGAGGCCAGTTGTTGCTCTCAGAATGCATGGCAGGGCCCGCGCAACTGCAGACCCTCCTTCCCTCCGAGCCTGCCTTACAGTATCCACCCTTGCCAAGGGTAGCAGGCAGAACCTGCCCTCATAACGCGTGTCATGCATTAATAGCGTGATATTCTGCGGGTCAAGCCGCAGCACTACAGTAGGGGTCAGCAGCACGGAAATGCCGAACCGTGTCGCATCACCAAGCCTTTGTTTGCCTGAGGGGCGAGTTCTACCCATTTTTTCAAGTTTCATCCGACGCTTGCAAAATCGAACGAGCTGGCCGATAATGCTTGCATGCGGCTTGCCGTGGAGGTATAACGACACCGACAGTCTGATGATGCCAATAGCTGTTGACTGAGCAACACTGTCACCGCGATGGAGCCTTCATGGCTCAACTGATGCTTGCAAAATGGAACAAGCTGGCAGAAGATGCCTGCATGAGGCTTGTCATGGAGGTATAATGCTACAGGGACAGGTTGCGCGTCTGAGCATGTCAATATCCGTTAGCCGCATGAGCACCACTGCACCGCGCAAGAACCGAGATGGAAGCTCGCGGAGCAAGCTATTGCCTGAGCTGCGAGTTCTACCCATGATTTCATGGCTCAACTGATGCTTGCAAAATGGAACAAGCTGGCAGAAGATGCCTGCATGAGGCTTGTCATGGAGGTATAATGCTACAGGGACAGTTTGCGCGTCTGAGCATGTATCCGTTAGCCGCATGAGCACCACTGCACCGCGCTAGAACTGAGATGGAAGCTCGCGGAGCAAGCTATTGCCTGAGCTGCGAGTTCTACCCATGATTTCATGGCTCAACTGATGCTTGCAAAACGGAACAAGCTGGCAGAAGATGCCTGCATGAGGCTTGTCATGGAGGTATAATGCCACAGGGCCCAGGTTGCGCGTCTGAGCATGTCAATATCCGTTAGCCGCATGAGCACCACTGCACCGCGCTAGAACCGAGATGGAAGCTCGCGGAGCAAGCTATTGCCTGAGCTGCGAGTTCTACCCATGATTTCATGGCTCAACTGATGCTTGCAAAATGGAACAAGCTGGCAGAAGATGCCTGCATGAGGCTTGTCATGGAGGTATAATGCTACAGGGACAGGTTGCGCGTCTGAGCATGTCAATATCCGTTAGCCGCATGAGCACCACTGCACCGCGCAAGAACCGAGATGGAAGCTCGCGGAGCAAGCTATTGCCTGAGCTGCGAGTTCTACCCATGATTTCATGGCTCAACTGATGCTTGCAAAATGGAACAGCTGGCAGAAGATGCCTGCATGAGGCTTATCATGGAGGTATAATGCTACAGGGACAGTTTGCGCGTCTGAGCATGTATCCGTTAGCCGCATGAGCACCACTGCACCGCGCTAGAACTGAGATGGAAGCTCGCGGAGCAAGCTATTGCCTGAGCTGCGAGTTCTACCCATGATTTCATGGCTCAACTGATGCCTGCAAAATGGAACAAGCTGGCAGAAGATGCCTGCATGAGGCTTGTCATGGAGGTATAATGCTACAGGGACATTTGGCGCGTCTGAACACGATTGAACGCGTTGAGCTGCGAGTTCTCCCTGTGAGTTTGCGTGTCAACTGATGGCTGCGGACTCGAACGAGCTGGCAGAAGGGGGAGGTGTGAAACCTGATGGCAGCATGGGAACGGCAAGAGCTGTGCAGTCCTTTTTTCCTTTCGTTTGTTTCTGCGTTTTACGTCCGCCATGCGCGAGCGAAGCATCAGATGAAGCGGAGTCTCGTTAGATCCGACCTGCCTTGATTGTGAATTCCTTCCATCGGGAGCAACAGGTTGCTTGTCGAATCAGTTAGTGTTTGAGCCGTGCGAGCATCAGAAATTCGTACCTCGGAAGATGTTCGGAGGATCTGAGATGTCACAAGAGACTTGAAAGGAGCTTCATGGATCCAGTGTGTCCCTCCAGGTGTTTCGGCAGCTCCAGCTACGTTTCATGTAGAATCTACCTAGCAGCCTAGCCTATCTCCGTCTTGGCAACGTTTGAGAACGGACCATGTTTGAAAACCACATCATTTTGCAGAAGAGGACGCTTCTAAGCTGGTGGCACTCTTTGCTGCGTGTGCTGCGCGAGCTTGACGTGCGCCCATGGCGCAGGCCAGGCCAGCTTGGGGCGGGAACAGAGCAGTGCTGTCCACTGTCATGCAGAGGCCTTCCGAGAGGAGCTGGAGCGGCGCCTGTCCAAAACCTCCAAGAGTGAGGATCTCAAACAGGTTTTAGTGGAGGCTCCGGTCACGGAAGTTTCAACAGAGGCTCTTGCAGAGGCTCCGACAGAGGTTACTGCAGAGGCCCCGAATGTCTCGGTGTCCACCGCGCTATCGCTGAATTTCAGCGCGAGGGAGACGGAGGTGGAGGCCTTGGCACCCCGCTCGCTGCTTTCACCCATCGCGGGCTCCGGTTCCAGCTCGAGCTCCTCTCCACGAACCTTCGTGAGCCAGGGCTCCCGCAGCTTGGCACGTGAGAGATGTTCGGCAAGCTCTTTTGCGTTTTGCAGCCCCCAGATTGTGGGAAGAACCGAGGGAGAACTCTGGACGTGGCGCGCACGGGCAGCACAGGCCCCGGGCCCCTTGCGTGGGGAACGGGAAAGGGCTTTGGCCGAAGCATCGGAGCCTTTGCAATCCGCGCGAGGCCTCCTCGGCCTCGGCCACGGCGGCCACGGCGTCGGCTCCGCCTCCTTGGCCTCGCGGTCAAGCGCTGGGTCTGCGTCCACTTGGGGAAGGCAACTGCTGGAGGCGGACGTGCGCTCGCTGCGAGCACAGCTGCAGGCACGGAAGCTTCTGTAGAAAGCGGAGGGCGAGAGGAAAGGCTGAGCCCGACGCTTGCAGGAGGAACGAGCCCGATCGTCGCGCCTGGCGGCTGAGTTGCACCATGCGCAGGCGAACGTGCAGAAGCTGCAGGGGCGGCTTGGCCTCGACATTCAGTGCAATTTTCAGCGTGCGGTCGCTGCAAACCCCTCCCAGGCAGCTGGATCTGCAGAGGGAGCGAGACGAGTTATTGCAGGATCTTGACAGCAGTTTGAGGCAAGAGCAAACCCGCAAAGGCGGCCACGTTTGCCGCTCAATTTGTGCGCTGCTTGGGCGCCCCCAGACCTCAACCTAGCGGTGACCTGTGTACAGCCTGCACGTTCAGCAAAGATGTCAGGGTAGGGGTCGGCCAATCCAAAAGCGGTCCCGGTGCAACCGGTGCAGAGACTTCAACAGAGCAATGTTGGCTTGCCCTTGGCCTTCTCTGCAACCTGCGCATCCTGCGCAAGCTCGGCGAGCTGAGTGCAACCCAAGGGGCAAGATCGGATTTTGGCTTCAGCGCGCCACTCTTGAAGCATGTCTAGTAACAGCATGCAGTAGTGGGTTGGCAACAGGCCAATCGATCGGTGCGGCTGCAAGCATCGGTCAAAAGCTGACAAGTCCGACCCAGACCCTAGGCCCCCTAGGCCCCCCAGGCCCCCTAGGCCTGGGCCTGAGAAAACTGTGTGCAGGGAAATGAAGACCAGCCAGACGTCAGAGCAGAAGGAGGCAATGAAGGAGACCAAGGCTCAGAGCTCAGAGCCTCCCTTTGTCAGCCCACGGCCGCCTGCACATTGGAGGCGCAGGAGAAGCAAGAGAAGAAGGCCTTGATGGCTGAGCTGGCCAAGGTTCCTTTCTAGGTCCTTTCGGTATCTTGATTTGGAAAGTCTATAAGTTTGACAGAGTCTCGGTGGTTCGCAGCTACCCAGATCGAGAAGATGCGCGCTGAGCGCGAGAAGGATCGTTTGCAGAAGCTGAAGCAGGCGGCAGGGGCGGATCACATGAGCTCCATACTAGAGTCACTAGAGTGGATCCGGAGCTCAGAACAGTGCTCCAGGCAAAAGGGAAGAGCAAGGCTCTGGACCCTTCCTCCCCTCCTCCCCTCCATCTCTCGACCTTGTGGTGCTTGCTGTTCTGGCACCAGGGAAAGCGGTCGGCAGCCGAAGCTGGGCTTCCAACTAAGGCCGGTGCTGCCGGTACTGCGTCGAAGCTGAAGCACCTTTTTTGCGAATCTCAGGAGCCGGAGATTCGCGACATCGACTGAGCCTCGCTCGCTGAATCGGGGTGCAAAGAGGCGCCCTCTGACCTGCCAAGAAGCCGCAAGCTGAAACAGCTTCCCGTTCCGGCGTTTGGGGTTGATGCTGCACGGGATGCTTCATGTGGGGCACCCGCCCGTTTCAGATAATGCTTCAAGGACTGCGACCTCTGCAGTCTCGCGGGTCGAGTTGCGAGCAACTGTGGAGTGATATGGCAAGACAGGGCTGATTCAACGGCTTCCTCCACCATGCCCACAGCTTTGCTGCTTCTAGCTGCTCATTATGCCAGCGGGCTGTACAGACACGTGCCGACGGCCATTTAGGGTGGCCTGCCATGGAGCAGGTTGTGAGCAAAAATAGATGCTTGTGTCATTCGACAGGTCGAACAGTCCACATTAGTTGCCCGTCTCTGCCAAGTCCAATCGACTCGATCGATGCCCTGCTCCCAGCTTCAGCTAACGAAAATCTACAAAAAGCAGATGAGATGCGAAGCAACAGCCCCCTGTGTTTGTGTGCTCGCGACTGGTAGTCTGCATGGGATATTGTGGGAAACAGCTCTTCCGATGGTCGATGTGAGACCCCATGTAGCAATGTCTGAAAAGCGCACGGATTCAAGGCATAACTTCACATGTATCATATGTACCGCGCGCAGGTACATCAGTCACTAAACTGCAAAAATCCCAGATCAAATTCCGAGACCAATGTAGACCGGCTTCCCACGGCCTGATGCCGGCATGGCTTTGGGCATTGTGCCTTGCCAGCTTCAGGCAGCTGTAGCCACGTAGCTCTGCAAGTTATGAGTCCGTTCCCCGTCGGGTCAGGCTGCTCGCGGTCCAATGCAGCACCGAAAGTGTGCTGAGCGGTGAACCCTGGAGACCAACCGTTTCCAAGAGCATCCAGCTACCCGGCGAAGTGCAGCTGCTACTGCCAATCCTCGGGAACCAAACGACACTCAGGAAATCTGCGAATCGCAGCAAGTGGCGGCACGCTGAGCATATTCTGCGCTGGCGCCGCCGCCTGCAAGAAACGACGACCTTATCTACACAGACATTTCCAGGTGGATGGCTAATTCGCATCCAGTGTTTCGGTTGGCTGAGTACTCACCATCCGTACTGCGTGCCGTGACGTGCGCGATCTGCCCTTCGCATGCTTTACGTTGCCTCATGTGAGCCCTTCGCATGCTTTACCTTGCCTCATGTGAAGTGCACCCAACCCAAACGCTGCCATGGTGCGAAGGCTTCAATACGAAGCGCTCGGAGCTGTGCGTGGGGCAGGGCCAGTCCGTTCTGCAGGAGGAGAATCCCTTGCCCAAATTTCGAGCATGGTGTGTTGCTTGGGAAGTATCCGCCAGGAGCGCCCGCTTACAAGCACAAGTTTGAGCCTGTGCTCCTATTGTCGAGGTCGCTCGGACTCGGATTGCTGCCACCAAATATCCCCTCGGACGTACTGCGTTCAAGACAATCCTCACTTCGTGCCTCACTCCCGAAGGACCCGACATCGATCCGTGCATCTATGATGTCTCGGAGAGGGGGGGGGGGGGGTGCGGGCGATGCAGCATGGGATGATTCAATTCCTGATTTTTGCAAATCCTCGCTTGTGTCCTTGAGCTGCGGCGAGCTAACGCGGCAATCGGTCGTGACATCTTCGCAGCCCAAAGCTGACTCTGAAGGAGTGTTTTGGAATCTCTCAGGGCTCGTCCTGCAGGCCATTCCCTTCCTGGGTTGCTCTGATCTCTTTGGCTTTGAAGTTTGCTGTTGCACTTGCAGGGTGCGCTGCAAAGCGCCTTATCTTGGAGCGTCGTGCCTCGCCTGAGATTGGTTTTTTTTGCAGATGTTTGCAGTCGGTAACACAGCCAGTGAGGTCGATTGCGCTGTGTCCGGCATCTGGAACCTCGGGCGAGGAGGCGCGCAAAGTGGCAAAGTGGTTAAATCCGGCAAGCTTCCCTTTGCGGCCGTGGCTGTCGGCCCAAAGCAGGCGAACCTGAGCTTCCAGCTGCCGAATTGCGTTGCGGCTTTGGAGCAAGACAAGGTTTCCCAGAAAACAGCTTTCCGCTTACGCTTTGCCCTTTGCAGCGAAGACGGTTCTGCCACAGGTATCGTGCCCGAATCCGACGACAATCCCATCGGGCTACTTTCAGGTGCAAAGCAGCATCAGTTTTTGAGAGGATCTGCACGTACTTCGACAAGACTAGATCGAGCCATGTGCCAGGTGCAGGAGACGGGGCAGTGGACCTGCCGAGACGGTCATCACGGGGAGGCAAGCGACGCACAAAGTCTGGCCATCGCAGCTGCAAATGCATCATGCTCTTCCGGCCCGCAAAGTGGCACCGATGCGCTCGTGATCTCAAGCACTTTCAGTTGCCTTCCATGCTTGCACCTGTGGAGGCGGTGAGAGAGTGCACCCTGCTACGGGTTGGTGACACGTGCGTCCTGCAGGCTTCGATGGGTCCTTAGTCCTTCGTGCATCAAGCAGTGGTTAGTCACCCGGTTGGTGTTTCAAGTGCCAAGCCTGCACCTCGCAGTGTAGCGCTGAGTGCAGGCTGTCTTCTCTGGCTGTTTGCCTCTGCTGCCATGCCGTCGACCCGATCCTGCCTCCGATTTTCAAGATGGCATGCCACCCGGTTGTAACAGGTTTTGGGTTTGCAATCAACCAGAACAGTACGGCCTGTGACAGCAGAGCCAAAATCTTGGAATGGGTTGATGCAAGAGTGCAGTGGCATCATTGCTCGCGTAGTTACTCCAGGTTTGACGTCCCTTCCTGTGGCTTCAATACCAGCGGCTGTGAAAATGCGCCTGGGTCGCAGCTCAAGGAAAGTCGCCGGCAACGGGAGACATGCAATCAGTGGCAGCCTTGTCGATGTAAGCGGGTGTGTCAATACTTCAAGCATCTCAAACCTAAACCCGATTTCCACGCGGCATGGCCTCATTGAGGGCCAGTTCCTCCAAACAGCTGTTGCCAGTTTTGCCCAACGTGTATGCTGTGTTTGAGGTTCAGCCCGGCTCCTCGTGTGAGATCCACTGTCAAGAGCCCTTCATGGGGCCTAGCGTTACTGCTACATGTCTCAGCACGAATCTTGGCAGCAGGTCGAGTGTTCAAAAAATGGCACCCCGTTTAGTTGCTGAGTGTTCTGCTGTTCTGCATGAATCTGGAGCAGCACGCCGTTTCAGTATCGTGTCTGCAGGAACACCGATCCAGATGCCCAGCTGAAGCTTTCCTGCATTTGATGGTTAAGTGGGCGGACACCGTACGAATTCCGAAGGCTCGGAGATGATTTTAGTGCGAGGTATGTTTGCCTGCACTCTGGCATGCAGCTTATTTCAGAGTAGCCCCATCTCAAAGGTGAGCTTGTGTCTCCGAAATTTGAAATCTCGCAGGCACTTGACTTGAGGTTTTCCATAGTGAGTGTCGGAATCCCAAGAAAGCCCAGAAGAGAGACGACTCAGATGATTGAACAGCACGAGGAAAGCCAGGATTTGGGAGGGCCTCAGTTTCCGCCAGATAGCTCTAGCCAAGAAGCAGGCAGAGGTACGGAGGCCTTAGGGCGGTCAAGTCCTGACCAGAGGGACTACCTGATGGGGCAACTTACAGTCGCACTGTGTTCATCTCCTACATCAGAACAGGCTTTTGCCTCTGGCGGTATGCCACGAATTCACATTGCAGGTTTTTCGGCTAAGCCTTGAGGTGAGGGGAGCAGCGCTGGACATCTGCCACGCAAATCCATTTCAGCAGCCCTGTGCAATACACTGGCTTGGATAAGGGCTTTTGAGTTTTGAAGCATAGCATCAGACACGGGCTCCACTCTCTCTCACTCTCAGTCCCTCTCCACTCCTCTCACTGGCACTCCCACTTCGCTGACAGATGCTGGCGTGAGCCGAGGATCTACACTCGGCCACCATGCCAAAAGCGCTGCCCCAGCTCAGCAATACGGGAAGTGGGGCCTGGCTACAATCACGACTTCGCCGCCTGGCCTTGAGAAGACGCGCAAAGTTCGCTACGCATGGCATCCTTGCACTAACCCAGTGCATGAAAGGGCCTTTCCCGTGCTGCCTGCACTGAAAGGATCGAGACCGCTGGTCCTGTGCAGAGGGCTTCACCGGCCAAGCCGTCGTCAACTCAGCCGGGGCTGCATGCAGGCAGACTGGGCTGTTTCGTTGACCCTTGACCTGTGAGTCACTGGCAACACAGGTCTTGCAGTGTGAAAACGGTCTGACGGGTATTCCAACCACAGCAGAGGTGAAGCCTTGTGAGATCGACGACCAATGCGGGCGGAATGTGAGTCTCGCTGGCTGCGCGGAACTTCGGCCCTGCCAAGCTCCAACGCTGGATTCCTGCAGGCGGCCGTGTCGGGCTTCCTGTTGTTGTAGATGCGAGATGGATGGGCTTTGTGGCATGCGCTTGTCCTTGTGGAACATGCTCGCATAGGTGTTATATAGTGTACGCTCGTAAGGTCCACGCAGACGAGAGCACGTAGTCGCTGCAGGAACCACCGAGCGTGAAGTCAGAACACGCCTCGTCCCGACCAAAAGAGTTGTAGCAATGAGAAGGCCGTGTCTAGCCCGGTCGCAACCGCACCAGATGCATGGCCCGAAACGTGAACGCATTCTTCACGCAGGAGAGCATGTCTAGCATGGCAATGTCGAGCTGCCAGGTACGACTGGTCAAGTTGTGGCAACTTTGCGCCCGGGACCAGCTGCCGAATTGCTTGCCGCACGCCATTCGAAGGCACCTCCTGTCCCAGCCTGGTGACAGCAGAACCGGATCGCTCGGCAGACCTGACAAGAAGTCTGTGCAGTGCGCAGGCGAAGGCTTCCCGGCCATTTGCTTGGCCAACAACTCGGATCCCATGGCGCCCATGAACTTCGAGGTGCCCTGGTGCAACTTGAACTGCCGCACTCTCAGTACCTGCGCAGCCCACGGTTTCAGATTGAAGTCTGAGCTTGCGGCTGAACTTGTGTTTCTTCGCATGTCTGGGCCGCCTCAGGCCCTGACCCTCTTCCGCTACCGGAGGGCTACACCAGGCAGCAGTCTTGTATCCGTTTGAAGACTCCTTGCTCGTGATGCCCTACGAATGCCAGGCAAGCGACGGGCTACAGATGCGACGTCGGCTACACGGGCTGCTCATCTATGATCTGCTTTCGCAATAGAATCGGACCGGCTGGCTTGTGTGCATTTTTGAAAGCATTCAACAAACGTTAGCAAACAGGCTTGTGATGCTTCGGCACAGGCGGTCTGTTCAATTTTTCGCAAAGTCTTGCAGGTTTCGTGCTGCAGCTGGCGGAATGCTAGTCTTGTTGGATGATTTCCAAGACTGCTGCTCCAAGGCATCGTGGATCGATCTTGCAGCGTTGCGCCAGAGGATTGCTCATGGGAGGCGAGCCGTACAGCTTGCTTCAACTCTGGCAACTTCCAATGCCGTTAGCTTGTCCAGGAAGAGCTGAATACTCAAGCCACCACAAATGTTGCTGAGTTGCTTCATGATGCCAGCAATGAATCACACTGTGTACTGCCAACTGCAGAGATCGCCAGGTAACGTTTGCTGGCTGCGACAAGCTTGTGAGCTGCAAGGCCCGTCTTTTCATTGAGAAGGGGGTGGCCATGTTTTGAGCCTTTGCCCAGGCTCTGCCTGAGCCGGAGGACAGGCGCGGAGCCAGCGGAGCGATGAGCAAAAGTGCTTTGAGCGTTAAAGCCGCTTTATGCCGCTTTCGTCAGGTGTCAGTTCGATGTGGAGGACTGTCAGAGACCGGTCCCTTTGGGACAAAGCTGCGAAGTTTCTTGGCTTTGTCAATTGGTCCACCTGGCCGTGTTTCTCTCACTTGTGTTTCCGCCGAGACGCGCTGCCGCGAGCCCTACGTCGGCCTGAGCTCGCAGAGCAAGTGCCCAACGAGGAACACGGATCCCGAGAGGCCCGGGTCGGAGACGGGGACCCACAGAGTTCGGTAAACTCTCACACTCTCTCTTTCGCTTTCTCATGCGCTCGCCGCTCATGCGCCCAGGACTGTGGACTTTCTCCCACCCAGCTGCGCAGTTCCAGATTGTCCGGGCCCCGGTTTGGGCAGAGGACACGGGCATGCCAGAAGCTGAGAAGGCCCGGAGCCAGTGCCCCGCGGCTACGCGAAGACGGAGAATGGCTGGCAATGTGCTCCGGGATACGGCGGAACCGTCCGGAGCCCGACAGACCCCAGACCCCATGCGCTCGTTTACACTTCTCCTGGGAAGTGAGGTGCTCAGCAGCTGCACAACATGCGGGAGGCCGGGCATGACCTTGTGGCTCTTCAACCCCTCACAAAATGCCTCGTTTGGCCTTTGGTGGCTTGGAAGGCTGGTGCTTCGAGGCTGCACACCGGCCATTCCCTGCAAGCCGGTAGAAGTCGAGGAGAGAGCCCTTGCTTCGCGCTGGCACAGCCTTGGTTTTGGACGTGTTGCACGAGCCCTTGAGGACCCTTGCCGTTTTAACGCCACAGACTGCTCTACACCCATCGGTTTCGGCCTGAAGTTCAAGTTTTCAGCCACGGGTAGGCGGAGCTTTGGGCGAGGTGTCAGGGCTGCCACCGGTCTAAGCCATTGGGTCTATGCAACTTTTGCAATGATTGCATGGCTAAAGCAGGAGAGGTCTGAGAGGTTCGATATGCTGCTCGTACTCCTCCATCGTTTCGGGGTGGCTAAGACGTTGACGGCTTGCTCGCCCAGGTGCTGGTGAGTCGTGCACGATCACCTGCGGCAATGCTTACCAAGGCACTTGCGAGCAGCCTCCCTTGACTCAGTATTGACAAATCCAGTACCGCTTCGATAGACATCTTCATCTGTGCCACTCCGATGCCAGAGATCTGGACCGGCAGCAGTCAGGAACTAGTCATTGGTCACTAGTTTTTGGACACGTGAACACGCCATTTCGACTCGACTTGGATTGCGTCGCGCTCGACGTCAGGGGAGCCGACGTTCGCGACCTGCCCTGCCGACAATGTCGATCCCGAGCGTCAAGCTGCCGCACCCTCAATGCCAAGGCCAAAAGGCCAACACTTCCTGACGTGAGCCTCTGTGACTCTCCTGCAAAGGACATCGAGCGCCTGCCCGATTGCAGCCTCTACTGTGGGGATCCAGACCCACTGCCCGAAGGCAATCCCAGAGCTGCGGCATGTAGAGTGGCGTTGCTGGATGAATTCGATGGCAGGTTACGTGATGCAGGTTGACTTCGGGGGCTCCTCGCCTGCAGTCTGAGGACACTTTTTTTGCATGTGCGCCGACTCGACCATGGCATGGCGGAGCAAACACGGTAAGCCGGGTGTGTTCCTGGCTCTGAAGAGCATCGGATGTCTGCTGTTTGCTATGTCTTGTCTTCCAATCGCAGCTTGCATTTCTGGGTGTGCTGGTGCTATGACGAACGTGGTTTCACCTGCAGGCAGGCGACAGTTCGAATGTGCTGCTGGCTACATCGGTCAAGCCGAGAGTGGCATGGCTTCACAGACAGTGCGTTCAAGCTTTTCATGTTGCATCTGCTTCGAGAGCGGACTTGCCGCAGGCGAATGCCTGCTCCTGGACGGTTGCACAACGACCTTGCAACTATCAGGTTGCGAGGGCCTCAGAGACCGACGACGGGCCGGCCTTAAGCGCGAGAGGGTTCCCAGCGCGGGCTCAGGCCTGAAGCTCCAGCCTTGCCTGCCTTTGCAGCTGCAGCTGCCTCATTCCGACCGCTACGAGATACAAGGCGTGATCGGAGTGATCGGAGGTCGGAAGCTACTGCTAGGAGTTAGGATTAAAGGTACCCTTGGGGATATAGAGCAAGGTTCCTTTAAAGGGCTCCCTTAAAGGGATCTGGAAAGGCCAACGTCTGAGAATTTGTGAGAGGTTGTGACAGCGTCCAGCCGGGCCAGAGCTGCTTGGTCCGCTGCAGCGATCCCTGGACGGGTCCGGAGGCCTCGCTTCGATGCTTCGATCTGTGAAGGGTAGACGGTAGATCCAAAGCGGCAGGCTTTGGTCAGATGCCCGGAAAACAATCTTGACCCGAACCAGCCGCTGATTGTGCCCGAGGACAGCAGCAAGTTTCGAGCTTTGTGGCTTGCTCCCGATGCACCCTTCAGCTGGTCTTTGCCCGGGGAGGACTGGTACATGAACCGGCACGGTGTCATGTACAATAGCCTCTGGCCGCCGAAGAGTGAGCCTCAGCAACCTCAAGGAAGAGCGGTACCAAGCCAGCTGTCTGAAACATGTGCTGCCGATGAGAGGTGCTCTTTACGATGTGACTCGCTCAGCCCAGGCTACGAGAAGGCTCTGCATTTCTGGAACAGTGTACTTCAATGATTGTTGGGCTTTGATGCACGTTCACGACGTTGACCAAGACAGGGCCGGATTGTGAAAGGTCCTCGGCGGCAGGTGGAGATGCGCGCCTGGCTTCATCGGGGAGGCCGTGACAAAGCCCCTCGACCTTTCTGCTCTAACTGCCTTTTTCAGTTTTGAGCCGTTTCAAAACTGACGATCTTTGACGCAGCTCTGGCTCTCCCTAAAAGCAGCCCGAGGAGATGCTACCAGCGTGGTGCCTGTGACCAGGCCAGCGCTTGGGTTCTGTGATTGGCCGCTTTTGCAATCAGAGCCCGGGAGGCAGTTTCCCTCGAGGGCTGCAGAGAGCTGCTGCCGTGTACCCTAGCTGCAAAGGCTTGAAGTGGCTAGCGGCCTCTGGCGGCTAGTTGGTTGTGCCCGGCCGCTCTTGCCTTCGCCTGGAGCCGTCTGATATCTGCAAGGTACCATCCCGGGCCTGGATGCCTGGAGCTCACTCTAATGCCATGGAGTCTCCAGAGCTCCTGCCGGGCCTGTAAGGCGTGCAAGTACGACGTCAGTGACTGTGGAGGGTTTCAACGTGGCACTAGCTGCGAGGCCATTCCACGTATCTGTTCTAGATCGCTTCGGAATCTCAGCAGCGATTCCATCAAGCGCTGGACACAAAAGCCTATCAGTAGCATGAAATGCTAACAAGATCTGATCTAACAAGCTTCTGTTCTGCATGTTTTGTTCGGATGTGGATATTTGGGGGTAGGAATAAGTGTGCTGAGCAACCTTTGACCAGTGGATCTTGCCGTGGAGTGGCAGGTCAGGTGCCGGGCCCCCTTCAACGGTACCGCCAGCATCATGCTGGGTTCTTAGTTGTGGGGATCCCATGGGCGGTTCTGACAAGCCTCGCTTCTTGTGATCACTTAGGCATTGTCCGCAAAACAACACTGAGCCTGAAGGAGGCCGGAGACGTGATACTGCTGGCCATGTCTGGTCCGTTAGTTGGCCACGAAATTGAATCATTGCCATGATGCCTGCAACGGTGCATTCCATGTAGGGACAGCACCTGCCAGCGAAGTTCTGATTGTTTCAAGGTCTCATCGGCGAGCTGCCAGACTGTGAGATCGAGGAGAGATGCCCAACACCAGCCTTTGCAGATCGTGGAGGCGAGTTTGTGGCAGCAAGATCGATTCACGGCGCTGCAGGAGTGCATGGATCCTGTGCCGATTCCTGCGAACTACGAGCCGATCGATGCAGCCACCTGGATCAAGTTACGAAGGCTCCGACCGGAAGGCTTTGAGTAGTTCAAACGCTTTTTATGGTTTTCAGAACTGGTTTTAAGGGGCTCCCACAAACCGTGGGCACACCAATAGTAGGCTTCACAACGACGGCAACAGCGCCACCAGGATATTTATTCGCAACGAGGGCCACAGCTACATCTATGCTGGTAGCAAGACAACCTTAAAGTAGCAGTAGCACTGATTGCTAGCGTAATGAGTCTATCACTCGAACTCCCTGCGCCGGTCTCAAGTCTCCTTTGCTTTGCTCATCCGCAAGTCGATGAATTGGGGTTGGGGCCGGCTGGCTATGCTGTACGGGGTAGCACTCTATCCCGAAGGTCCCCCTCCCCTGCGCCCCGAAGCTGACCACTCCGCGCCCCCGAAACTGACCCCACGCCCCGAAACTGACTGCCTCGCGCCCCGAAACTGGCCCCCCCTCCGTCCCGAAACTGGGCCCCGAAACTCACCCCCATGATCCGAAACTCAGCAGCAGCCGATCCGAAGCTAGAACCCGCAAACCTGTGGGAACCCATTGTCGGACTGTCGGACAACGGACAAATCGTGCCGCTATCTGCACTTTTTTTCTGGCTTCTTGATCTTTTGTCCAATCGGTCATGAAATTGAATTCAGGTTTCTTTGTTGCCTGTCCGAGGCCGCAGGGCTGTGGAGTTGTGCTCCGGGCTACACAGGACCCTTGCACGGCGCAGGATTCATCCTCTTGCGGCTGTTGTGCTGTGCTATTTGGCATGGAGGACTCGCTCAGAAGCAATGTGTCGCCGAACTCACAGAGGAGCCCGAGAACAGGCTGAAGCAGGCACCGATCTGTGAAGTACCGTCCGATAATTCGATGCTTTTTTGGCATCTTGAGCGGGCAGGACCGCTACAACCAGTACGGGATGCTGCAACCAGAGTGTGCTGTACGAGGCTTCTTCGAGGGCTGCGTCGCACCTTGGCCCATTATCGCAACCTGTGAACCAATAAAGGTCAAGCCTCGTTCGTCTTTGTGGCATGAGGGCCAACCCGGTGAGCTCATGAGGTAGCCGAGCCCTGTGCGCAATTTGTCATCGAGGACCTGCTGCCGGGAGCGAGCGCACAGCACGGAAGGAAAGACAGAGACGGAGAGAGACTCCACGGCGTGCGAGTGCGTGTGCGGAGTTCGGGACTGGACGCTTGCCGGGCTCTTTACCTGGTACAGAGAGAAAGACGGAGAGAGAGAGAGAGAGAGAGAGAGAGAGGCAGAAAGAAAAAAGAAAGAGAACTCCGGGGCGCACGCGTGGGGAGGGGCTTGCCCGCTCCTTCGGCTGTGCTGAAGAAGAGACGGAGAGCTGCCTGCTGCAAATGGGGAGTAGTAACTCTGAAGCAGAAGAGGAGAGCCGCATGTCTTTCCCTCTATCTGCAGGACACTTGCATGTTCGCTGCTCCATCCTGCAATGCACAAATCGTGGAGGACGGATAACTTCAGGCTAACACACGGACAACGAGACTTTGTCAGCTTGCGTGCAGGGCCGTCTGGTGATTGCAGCTCTCCAGCCGGGCGAAAGTTGCGAGGCAACGTCCGCAAGTCAAGTCGGCTGGTGTGCTGGAGCGCAGGTTGCAGTATCTGTGCAAGTTGCAATCAGGTGAGTTGCAAGGCGCCGTACAAGGCACACGGGGAGCGTTGCACTCGGGACTCTGAGATCGATGCTGGGATGTGGCCAGGCGCAGAGCAGCCTGGTGCAGTGCCCATCGACGAACACGAACGTTACAACCCCTCCAGCATGGTGCACAGCTGATCACATGAGCAAGCTGCAAATTGAAGTCTCTCAGTTGCTGTCAGATGAGGGCCAAGTTGTCTGTTTGCCAGAGTCACTTTTTCTTCTTAAACTTCTGGTTGTGAGAGTTCGCAACCTTCCATGACCTTCCTTCTGGTTGAGGTCTGGACCCCGCCAGGCTGTGAGCTGGGTTGCCCGAATGTGGCACCTCCACCTGGCTACGCAACGGCCCTGGTGGGAGCGTTCTTGCAGCACGCTCTCCGTGCCGTGTCAAGGTCCATGACTCCTTCGATGGGTAGTCGGCTTAGCAACGATTTGAGCAGACGGCTGCGCAAGCAGAATTGAAGCATCCCAGGTCACCAGATTCATGGGATTGGAACGCCACCGACGAGTTGGAGGTTGGGAGTGGCGGAGCGTGCTGTCGCTTGCAGCAGCTGCCCGATTCTGTTTGATTTCTCAGGTTGGTGACTGGACGTGCGCCGAAGGTTTCACAGGCAATGCATTGAGGTGCGGAACTTCCCGAAAACCTCTGCTAAAGATCGCACAGCACCCGCACCCGCTACGCCTGGCAAATTGCGAGCCTGTGCCTGTGAGGACTTGTCGGCTGCTGAGCGGGTGTTCCAGTGAAACGATCTTCAGTGGATGCTCTAGGCAGGGATGAGTAAGCATCGCCTCACATGCTTAGCAGCTGTGCTGGTGCGAGGCTCCTTCCCTGCCGCCCATTTCTGACGCAAGCTTGCGGAGTGAACGACCCGAAGCTGCAGATTCAGTTACTCGTCGTTGCAACCACCGGAAGATGTATTTGTGTCCATGCCATCGTATGAATCCAGACGCGCGAGCTTTGTCCAGCGGAAGAGGCCTCGGAAGATACCCCTCACCTTCACCCCAACATGCCAACAGAAGCTTGTCGTCAACGTATTCAAGCTGCGGAAGGGAGAATTCGAGCGGCTCTGCTCCGGTGGCGGCTCTGTGACTGAGTGCAGCGCATGCTGCTAATAGGCTTCTCTTTGGCTTTGCAATGGATCCACGAACGCATGCAATATTACGGAAGGGACACCGGATCGCACGCCTTGTGCCAATCGGGAACCATGTTGAGGTGTCGCTTGCAATGGACGTCGCTTGTGCATGCGGTGGCCTAGTCATGCTACTCCGGTGAGTCATTATTCCGGCCAATGTTTGCAAGGAGAGCGCTTGCGCCCGTGCGCTGATGCCGGGAGAGAGCTGCGCCATTACTTGTGGCGAAGGCGGTGCAAGCGCGTCTTGCTTTCAGTGCACCCGCATGCAGAGACTAATGCTTCCTTAGCTGTGTATTTCGGTGCTAATCATCCGCATCCCGCGAGAACCCTTATGCTATGCGCATTCACTCGCTCCCTTCTCCAAGCCCTCAAGAAAGCTTGAGCCGTTGCAGCAGGGTTTGGCGGACCTTCTCAACCGGTTCCATTGCCTTGGGGATGGAAGCCTAACAAACACACAGATCTGAATGCCCTCCCGCCCATGGCTTCCGAGACCGACCGTCTTATTGGTGTTCGCCTTGCCAGGCCATGTGGGTGGTCCTTTCATGGCCTCTTGCCCCGCGGAGAACACGCGACCTGGGAGGTTCACTTTGTCGATGATGGCGCTAGGGTTGATGTTAGTTAGTATTGTATGGACAGGCTGTTTGTGCTGCTAGTGACTCGGGCAGAGTCAGGGTCTTGATGCAGGCAGCTCGACTTCGCATCGGGGCCGCCGATTTGTGAAAGGACTTCGCTGAATGTTTGAAGCAAGTGATGTGCCGGACAAGACACTTTTCAACGTTGTTGTAAATGGTGGCGCAGTTGATGGGGATGGGTTTCGGCTGACAGGATATTTCCCGAGGGTGGTTGCTACGACCCAGTCCAGCCACCACCAGGCAGAGGGCTGCACGGCTGTTCCTCTGCTCAGACGGCTACAAAGACGCCGGACGGAGGCTACGTTCGGGCCAGCAACACGAGCAACTGGACCTGCGCGGAAGGCTTCGTGGGCTCTGCCCAGGAGGCCAGGGTTCGGCGGCGGTTCAAGGAAGGCGATATGCCAGCAGAGAGTTCGAGAGGTCTGTGAGCAGCCAACGGGCGACTGTGGCAGCGAGCTGCAGCTGCGGGGATGCATCGAGCGCCGCACCTGGAGCTCTTGGGTCAACGCTCGTCGCTCGTAGAGACTCTGGCACGCACTTCAAGGCAGCAGCCCTGCAAGCTTCTGGAGCTGGACAGCTGCTATTTCGAAGCCATAGGTGTCACCAGCCAGGGGGCAGGGGTGGTCCTCAGGGTATCAGAGTATCATGCACTGCAGTTGTCACTTGCACTGCATTCCGATGCGGTTTCAGCTGATCCTGTTGCGTGGGCCGCAAAATTTCTGAAGAGATCTGACAAGCAATTGTTTAACAGGCTGTGCAGGGCTCATGGGCGGTGAGTCTTGTTGCGGCCTTTGATCTTGCGCTCATCATTGGCCTCGTTCTGTGCATCTTGCGCCATACGTGTGGTACTTGTAGCTGCCCAAGGTCAGATCCACTGCCGTTCACCGTCGATTGGCACGCCAGTGTGGGCAACGAGCCTCGCCCCGCAAGCTTGCTTCTTTGCCGACCCGGGCCGAGACAGTTGGTTCAGCTTTCGCAGACTCAGGTGTCCCGTGGAAAATGTGGACCCAGACCAGGACAGGAGTCAAGGAAACTCACCTGGTTGCTCAGGAGAGAGTGTGTATCTAAGCAGATGGGGCCGCTTCTTAGGGTACGCAATTTTTCCTGTAGTAACTTCACGCACTGCTTCTGGACTGAGCAAGTGTTCTGAAAGTAGGGTAGCGCCTGGTTTTGGACTAGCATCTAACCAGAGAGTCTGTGAGATCCCTGCAGGAGCCCACATTTACACCGCCAGTTTGCAGCATCCCCGATTGTGACCTCCCGGATGAGTTTCCAGCGGGCTATGAGATGCAGGAGGCCCCGGGGTCCAGCGCTGTGTCTCTGCACTTGTGGGTCACACGGAACTTTCGTCTCGAAAGGCCGCACATACGTTCTGTGTCAAGTGGGTCTGGTCGCTGCAGGACGTGCAGAATGGAACGATTCTCTGCGCAGACAAGTTTGCTGGTCGGCCGGAGGTCCGTTGCCACTTCGATGTGCTTGCCAATTTATCCTCCTCTCTGGGGCAAAGATGTTGCAGGTCACAGGGGTCCATGTGAGGTAGTTGAAACTCTTGGCGGATTTTAGACTGACGGTGAAGGGGACCACAAAGAAGCAGATGTTGCAGATTGTGACAGCGACGCAGTCGCAGGTGACCTGTGTCTTCGAGGAGGACTGCAGCACCGGGGCTCGTTTGTCGGGCTGCCTGCCGCTGCAAGCCTGTGCATCGGCCTCAGGCAAGAGCCAGTGCCAGCTCTGCTAGCTGCCTGCTTGGCTTGGCTGAGGCCGGTCCGGCGAGTCTCGACGCTTGCAGGCGCCAGCCCAAGGCGAAGCTGAGTGCACAGGGGAGTCAGCATGAAGCGTCCGCCAAGGCACAGCATCAACCTCTGTCTGGACGGGGGCTCGGCTGGTGCCAATGGCATTCAAGAAGTTCAAGATGCCGAGATGGCTCGGCAGTCCATAGAATCCGGAACAGATCTACGAAAGCAGCCTATTTCTCGGCTACTGTGGAAGTTGGTTGTCCACTCAGGACGGACCTTTGTTGGATGTGCCTGGCGGTAGCCGCCGGCCTCAGATTTCCATCATGCTTCGGCATTGGTGCAGCTTCCGATCTCACCTGCGCACCATCGTACTTGTCCTGCGTGCTTGCGATAGAGCCGCCGATCTTTTCGCCGAGATGATGGCTTCCAGACGGTGAAGCCTGGCGGAGAGTGCCAAGTGAGCTGCCGTGGTGCTTTCGCGTCGTGCTCGGGCATCCAAGCGGAAGAAGGAGCCACAACGAATCAGTGCACTGAGTCCTTTTTCACTTCGTGCTGGCCTGTTAAGGTTGGTAGGGCAACGGTGGGAAGATGTCCTCTGCTGCATGGCTGCAGATAGGAGTATCCATAGGGTACTTCGAGCTGCTCAGATTATTGCTTGCGGCAAAGGAACAACACGGACCCTTCGCAGCCTCTGATCTACGTCTGGAGCATAGGTGCTGTCCAGGCTTCGTGTTGAAGCCATGCGCAATTGCCGTGTCATGCCCTCAGACCGAGGATCCACCTCTGGCATGCGAGTGTCCGGACGATCTGTCTCCATGGCCAGAAGGCATCGAGTTTTGCGCATTGAGCCGCTGAGCCAAACCAAAGCCTGGAAGGCTACAATCAAACCGGAGCCGGGCCCTTTGCGCACATGCAGAGTGGCGGAGATGGTCATGCCTTTGATCTAGGGAACCGGCTCGAGTTCCATGTGTTTCTCAGGCGTTGCAGCTTTCCCCCCGCAAACATGCTCTGGGAACCGGCTCGAGCTCACACGTTTCTCAGGCACTGCACTTCTCCCACGTAAATAAAACTCAAACCAGGAACATGTGGGAACGTGCTCGAGTTCACAAGTTTCTGAGGCACTGCAGTTTTCCCATGTGAATATGCTCAAATCACGAACCTGTGAGGGAACCGGCTCGAGTTCACACGTTTCTCAGGCCCAGCACTTTTCCCATGTAAATATAAGATTGAACAAGCTCAGTAGCTCTGTGGAGCTTGCGGGAGTTGTCTTCTATCAGTTCATTTAAGTAGTAGTGACCCATGTCAAAACCGTGCCGCTGACCTTATCCAGTCCTTTCGCGATAGTTGCAAGGAGGACGGAGGGGGGCACCACAGAGGCACTTAGCAGAGCGACCCGCTGCTTTGGACCCCCTTCCCTCAAGGTCAATCTGTTTAAGCAGCATGGAACAACAGGGCAACTGCAGGAATGACGGCATGAAGTTGCGATTGTGTGCAGTTTGTGTGCTGACGTTGCTTCACCTATGTGTATTTACGCGGGCTTAGTGCGTCGACCCGGCAGGATTCCATCAAGCACCATGGCAAGTGCATCTGTTGTCTATGCATATCGACCTGTCCAATCCATGCACCGCAGCACTTGCTCGTGTCTTTACGCCGCCGAGCGCTGCAATGCTTGCTCTTACCTTGCCGAGCATGCACGAAAAAACGCACGAGATCTATCAACTCTGCTTGGTTGGTTTGCTCTAGCTTTCGTGGGCCTCTTCTCGAGTCCTAGGTAAATCAGTTCCAATCACGAGAGCCAGCTGGACTGCCTGATCTGGCAGATTTTAGGAGACAAGCACAAGTAGAGCTTCTAGCGCAGGCCTCAGCGACACGAGCACAGCATACACATACAGAACTTATTCTTGACTGCATGGAGATCTTAACACGAAGATCATGCAAGAGAGCACCCGCCAGAATCTTTCTCATGCGTGAACGTGGATTTGAGGGCAAGCATCATAGAGTCGAATGGCCTGCGTGATTCTCAAAAAGGGGGACGTCGGAGGCATGGATAAAAGTAAGCGATTTTGGCTGCACGACGGCCACAACGACTACCAGCCCCAAATGAAGAACTTCTGATTGGGTTGTTTACGAAAGTCATAGATGCCCGTACGGAGTAGACCAACGGGGTCGATGCGTCCAACATCAAGACAATCAAGACAGCTGCTGCCGAGTAGTGCGGATGCAGTGCCAAAGACATCAACACTTCGATTATGACAGCCGTGCGCATCAGATCGGAGGCTCGTGCCACAGTAGCCGGAGGCCGTACAGTTTGACCATAAGTTCGTAACTAAGATAAATGCTTGCTGCTTGTCCTGTGACGCCGGCAGGATGCTTCAATCCCATGACATTCACACTCTTCCTGCGATTTGGTTGAGAGCAAGTTGAGGTTATCAGCAACGACGGGCCCGAGCAGGTGCAACACTCTTTGCATTCAGAGGAAAACCCTGCGGCTCCGAGCCGCTCGTGGCAGCCGTGCCGAAGGAAGGCAGCTGGTACTGCGAAGAGGGCTATGGTGGAGTTCCTCAGGCGCAACAGTCGCATAAACGGGACCCAGGTGGGCATTCGTTGTGTGTTCTGTGTCCCGACAGGTGATGTGCGCCGTTGACGCTGGATGCCAGCCGGAGCTCATGTTTGAGGTGGCTTTACAGTTTGCCAGAGCGCGCGAGCTTCCCGGGTACATGCTTGTGGGAGTCATCTTTCTTTGGCATCACTATAGCCATAGCTCTCCTTCTCTTGCAGGGACGGATTCGTGTTTCTTTACCAGTTACTAGCACAAAAGCTCTTGCAGGGATGCGCAACTCTGCAAACCTGCAAGTCCGAGCCTCACTTCAGCTCGCGAAAAACTGCTTTGCTGAGAGCAAACCGGGCTCAAACAAAAGGCCGATGAACCTCACGACGATTCAGTGCCAGTATGCGTGAGACTTAGAGCTGCGCTTGCAGCTGCCGTAGATCTGCCTTTCTGTCGTGCTGCTAGTGGCGATTGTGCATAGCAGTCGTGCTAGTGGATTGTGCGTTGCATGACGAGGACATCTCGAACTGCACTTCGCGGCTGGATGGGGGTGAGACCTGCGAGGTGCGGCGAATGCTCCACCTGCCTACTATTTGCTATTGTAGCTCTTGGTGCCATGGCACTTGGCTCCTTTTCGAAGCTCGTCTTTTCGCTCCACCGATCTCCTCACCGGCCGAAGTACGGATTGGGAATGGGCAAGGACTTTTAGTCCACAGGTCGAGACTCAGACTCAGCATCGCAGAACATAATGCTGGGCAGCTTAGATGACGCAGCAGGTTCTTTGCAGGCTCCCAGCTGTTGGAGACGGTGTCATTGCGTATTGCCCTGACGACAACACAGCCTCGCACTCAAGTGGATAAAGGACCATCTCGCAAAAAATTGCACAGTTCCTGGCAAGTCAGATAGTCGAGGTTCCTGATCAAGAGCTGATGGCACGAATCTCAGCAGGCAGAATGTGACAAGCAACGCAACCGAGTCGCGAGACTAAGATCCGAACGATGCTGCGGTCTACATGGTAAGTTACATACGTTCGCGAGACTAGTAGATGCTACGAGGAGAGCTCCTCATCGCCCTTTTCCGCTTGAGTAATTAAGGCGGCAGAACTCGACCCTTTGACTGGAGAGACGATTTATCGGCTCTGGGCTCAGAAGGGCAAGCTCGGGCTGTGGTTTCCCCCTTCAAGACAGAGTTGGTTTTTGATGATTACGCTTCTCTTGACGCTCTCTTGCCAGGCCATTTCAGTTTCCCTTGTGCGAGACTCCATCATTCTGCGCGGATCCGGATCCGCTACCTCCTGGCTACGTCAGGCGGACCTCGCCAGCCATGTGGCCATGTCATCTTTTCACCTGATGCACGCCATCTTTTCTATCTGCTCGGTATCCTTTCGCTTTTCCTTTCTGTGCAATCTCATTGTGGGAGTGACAGTCGCGAGGACCGGAACAGAGGGTGGAACAGCTGAAGACAATTACGCGCTCGAAGCTCAGCCTCCGGCAGCGTGATGCCACATGCTTCGGGTGCAAACTTTGCCCGTGTCTGAGGTGCGCTGAGGGCTATTCCGCATCACCGCGAGTCAAACGGACTTGTGCCATTCGGACTTGCCTTGGCGGTCGTTTCACACCTGTTCTTGCTCGCTTAGCTTAAGATTCTTCTCAGCTCTCTTCTGCCTTTCGATGTCGTGTTCTTGTTTTCGATGCCAGTCAGACGTCAGATGTCGGCCGAGGTAATGTCGAACACATCTGATCCGCTGGCGGCGCCTGACTCCCAGCACGTTTTGACGGGCCTATCTCAGAGCCGTGCCTCACTCAGGTGCTCCCTGGAGCCTCTCTTCGAAGGATGCCCTCCCATTGTGAACTGCAGTGGAATTGACGAGCGCATGATCGACACTTGCCGTCGCATGCTTAGACTCAATGAGAAAGATACATTTTCGAGCCGTCAGTTCTGCTACGTCTCTCCATCTCTGGGCTGTCCGAGGATACGACGTCTCCAATTGTCCCGAATTCTTTGACCCAGGAAGCACATGCGAGGCTGGGCAGGGCACTGCCCGCGCTAAAGGATTGGGCTGGAAACCGGCTGTGGCGGCTAGCTGTCTGGCTTTTTGCAGGTTTCCTGTCGTGAGCCCTTCTACATCGGCACCGGTGCAGCTTTGGCGACCTGCCCCAGCGTCCGACGCTCAACTCCTGCCTTCATGCCGGCAACGCGGTACATGCTTTAAGCCCCAGGACAACACAGACCCGGAGAAGCAAATCGAGTTTCCTGCGGACTTGGTATGTGATACACTCAGCAGTCAGAGCTGCGCTAATTGCCTGAATTCGCATTGTGGTGCGGAGGGACAGATCACATTGGGCAACCGGTCACTGAGGCACGAAGGCTTGCCCCGAGCCAGATCCTGTGCCTGCGGGCTACGAGAAGGCTGGGGAAGCGACGTGCTGTCTGTAGGTACGGTAGCATAGCACGCCTTGTTTAGGTGAACGGCGAGTGGCGATGTGCAGCCGGTTACCTCGGGTCTGCTATCGCCGAATGCTTCGCCAATAGCCCGGCTGTGTCATCAGCTTTCCACGGAAATCTGCAATTGCACAGATGCCGTTACGAGTCAGAGCTTTGCTGCTATGCCAAGAACGCGATAAAGACACCCTCGAGAAGAAGCGCTGGTCCGCAGCCGTCGGTCTCCGACCTAGGTCGACTCGATCTTCAGCAGCAGCACAAGAACAGTTGTCTGCGTGGTGAGCAGCTCAGTCACATCCTACACAAATCACCGCATGGCTGTCCCGACGTAGGTCAGAAGTAGCGAGAGCAGTGCTCGAAAGCTCACCTGTAGCGGGAGCAGTGCTCGAAAGCATGTAGCTCACCGAACGGACTGTGGACTTATGATGCAGCTGTCGGCGAGAATTTCCTGCGCTGCGTACGCGCCGTATAGTCCGTTCATTCGAGAATTGAGTGGCTAGAGGTCAAGCGAGGGGCCCAACACAGGCAAGGAGGTAGCTGGGAGCCGTTAGACGAGCTGAAACGGCTGGAATTCCGAGCACCGAACTGAACTCCCGATTCCCTCGCAAAGAAAGTCGCATAGGACTTTTGCAAGATGACTGGGATGGGAGGTGACGACGTAGACTGACTATCTTGTGTCCGAGCTTTAGGCGAGCCTGGTAGAGCCAAGGAGCAGTTTGTACATTTGCATGGAATCGCGCGATAGCAGAGCGTCGATGCCGGTCACACTACACTCTGAATTGAGTCATTCGATTTGACCGGCTGCATGACATGCGCACATCACGGAGCTGTTTTGGGAGCCGGATGCACTCAGGGCCGAGTGGAACTCACCGGCTGTGATCCTATGGCATCTTGCCAGCCACCCACCTTGGATGTGCCGGAAGCTCACGCCTGTTTGCTCTCTTTTCTCCTAAACTCTGATGTAGACTGCTGAAGCACCGCTCGCGTCCTTGCAGCGTCCAGCCGCTAGCTTTCCAGGTGCATCTACGACGTTTCAGACTGCATCGATGCCCATTCGCTGCATTGTGCATGGGGGGCCATAAATCTGTTGGCCTTTGGAGGTTTTCTGGCTGGCTGGTTGACCTCGGGATTCTGCCTGCGCCTGTGAGGTGATCGGTGGGACAAACTGCTCGATTCGATGTCGGAGCCCGCCCTATGAGGTCACGACTCACGACACTACCTCGCATTTGCTGTGCACGGGCGACTTGCCGAGCTGACAGGGCACTTCGACAAATGCTTCTTGTCCCTACGGGAATCTCGATCCTTTCCGTGTCGTCGTGCGAGCCTTAGAGAGGGGGAGTCGAGATTACAGACTTTGAGTTTCTGTCCTGCGATGCAGGGTTTAGCGGCGTCTTCAGGACTTCGAGCCGCCCAGTTGCGAGCTGCGCTGTCCTGTGCAAGAGGCGGGCAGGGGTCGGAGAGGCAAACAAACAACAGACCTTCCGGACAAGCAGTCCTGGCTGACTTCTAGTCACTAATCACTGCATCTGCTCGTGGTCTTTGCATGCTGGATTCTTGGGTCTGTTCTCCCAGTATGTCGGAGTGCATTTGTTGTTGATGCAGCGGGAGCTTGTCTTGTCTTGGCACTTGCGATGTTATTTGCGTACTCTGTCGACCCGGTCGCCAGCGCCTTTTGAATTTAACGCTGTAAACACGACTCGTTCAAGTCGGGACTGCGTGAATAACGGTCCCCATGTGACTCGACTGTAGGCTTGTGTCGGAACCAGCATCACAACAAGTCAGACTCTGAAGACCAAGTTGTTGACATATCAGCTTGAATCAGCCGACTCTTTTGGTTCAGGTATTGCCAGATGGCTACAACTACAGCAATGGGAGCTATGTCTGCCTTGACTCATGGTTCGGGTCGGCAACTGCAGCTTTTCGTCGGCACTTGTTGAGAGTATCAGACATTGCTTGGTATGTCTTGGATGGTCTTTGCGAGAACTTGCCGATTCGTCTGTCTGTGACTTGAATGACTTGAAAGACAAGGAGTGTGTCGCCAATGAGGAGGACCACGGGTGCTATCGCTGTGGCGAGGAAACCGGAATGTCGTAGTAACAACCCGAGATGCGCCTTGTGCAGGACTGCACTTTCGGCGTCGTTTTGTCAGGGTGTGGGCAGAGCTCGCCTTGTGTCGGTGTGCCCGCTGCCTGGAACAAGAATGGGCACGGAGCTGGACAAAAGCAATAGGCAGAACGACAACCAGCTATCCCCAAGGACGTCCAACACTACCGGCGGATGCTATTTCGACGTCTCGCCTCAGGCCAAGAGCGAACACAGGTTTAAAGTAAACCATGGTGTGAAGGCTGCAGTCAGCTAGTACAGTTGCGTCGACGTGCGTCGATATGGCAGGCTTGCTTGGCGGAGGACCCCACATTCCCTCAGGCCAACTTCGGACGTGGCCCGGGAGGCAGCTGCACGGCACCTTGGCTCAGATTTGGACGATTTCGATTTCTGCCGCCTGCCGCCTGCCGTCTGCGAGGTGAGCTGCCGGCCCCCATGCTCTGCACCGGCTGCTCTGCTTCAACATATTCATGGGCCGCCCCGACTAAGAGAATGCTGTCAATGCCTTCCAAGCAAGTTTGCTGCTCCTATAGTTTCCGGGAATGTCTGCGACGAAATCTCATCCTTGCTACTATAAATCTAAAGAGTTCGGAAGAGACGACTAGGCAAGCCAATGAGACTTTGCGTTGATAGTCGCCCGCTTCGGTGCGCTCTTCATGCAAGTGGATGTGCTTGCTGCAGGAAGGCGAGCAGACGTTGATCTGTCCGGCTTCAAACCTCAATGCGCAACTGCCGCTCCAGGCAGGAAGGGTTTCATGCAGCCATCTGCCCCCCTGCACTCCCCGTGCGCTAGATCTATTTCCGGAAGTGGGAGTGCCGGATGTCTTGGTCAGGGCATTCTTCCAAACTGCTCCTTCGATTGCGATCCTACGGACCGAAATGGGGGCTATGTGAAGGCCTGTCCGGCTACATGACATGAGAAAACTTGGTCCAGCTTGCAATCCCTTTCGATACGATGAGCTTCCTCCACCAGCTTGACTCTGCAGGGGGCCGACGGAGAGTGGCTTTGTGCACAAGGCTTCGCCGGCGAGGCCTGAATTGGAAAGCAGCCGTTTGAACGTTGACCCTGCTTCCCCCTGCTTCCCACTGCAGGTAATCCATCTCTGCATGGCTGGTGAAGTCTGCGCGGACCGGCCTTGCAATCACGCCGTCGCTACTACTTGCTGCATGCGGAGCACATCCCGGCTTTTGGGGAGTCTCTTTTCTACGGCAATTCCACTTCGCCCCTTGCCGTTGCCGCAGGACCAGTTGACCCTGGCTGGTTGCGCACCGCAGCAGCTGCTTGTTTCACTTGTCTTCAGCACATGACGATATTGAAGCGGGGCCCCCACTGGCCTGGGCATGAACAGCTGAGGCCCTGCCTACCACCAATCATCGATGACACTCCCTGCATCTTCGACGTCTCGGAGTGCGAAGGCTAACACCTGTCATTGCACAACGGCTTGGAACAGCTCAAGTGAGACCAATACCATGGGGGTAAGCAACGACTGAGTAGGTGTTCCGGCTGGAGCGTCCTGCTTTGTGCGCTGTGCAGCGCCCTATTACCTGGGCAGCATCAGGCTCTGGAGTGTGCTTTGGCACCCTTTTTCGCAGCTGTGTCCTGACTTGAGAGGCCTGCTTCGTGCTCTATCAACAACACACGCCTGGACGGCCGCGCGGAGCTTTCAGTTCGACCAGTCTGCACTTGGAATCCGGCGGACTGGGATGCTGGCTGTAGGAAACGTGGTGCAGCTAGCCTTGCTGCATGCTGCAGCAATCCAAAATGCAGGAATCATGTCCTGATCCGCCAGTTCCGCCAGCTGGTCTGACACTCAGGATGGTTTGCGTGCATTCGTGTGGAGCGATTGTGGTCTGCGAGACCGACACGACTCCTCCGGCCATTCACAGAATACACGTAGGGGGTTCATCGGTCTGAAGGACTCCGCACGTGTCATGAAAGCTAGGGGACGGAGCCTGTCGACGCAAGGGGTTTTACCGGTAGTAATTAGCAGTCGGATCATGGGACCGGCCGGCACGAGGCTACACTTTTGATGACCAGACCGGTGTCTGGGTTTGCGCACCTGGTTATGTGGGAACAGCTGCCCGGAGCCCAGAGGGCAAGATCCAAGGCCCAGAGCGCTGAGATGCGCTGAGCGATTCTCAATCGAGGGCGCTTCATGTGAATCTGAGCCTGTCCTGCTGGCCGTTTGTCCGAGATTCGGCAATGCGCGCTGCGGCTCGCAAGCCCCAACTCCGCCCAGTGCGTTCCGGAGGCGTGGGCTTGCCCTGCAGAGTACTCTAGAGCAGCATAGATGGTGTAGATGAAGGGAGGATTGTCAGACGCTTCACAAAGCCTGCCAAGTCTTTCTTCAGGCGACTTTCCTGGGCTGCCTCCCTCTGACACCGTGCATTGAGCCGATTGTGCCAAGATCTCAGCGTGAGCGCAATGACGTCGAGCCGCTCGTGAAGTCTCCAGTGGTTCTATAGATCAGAATTTAGAGGCGCTCCGTGCCCGAATTTGTGCCCAAGGAGGGACTGCACGTACAACACGACGGCAGCGGCGAACCTGACGAGCGGCGCTGAGCGCAAACAAGAGAGTTTCAATTTGTGGGAGGATGTGGGGTCCGGGGTGGCGTTGTTCTAGGCCTGGTTCGACCGGCCTGATCTACTGCAATGCCTGAAGCTTGGTCTGGCACCGGAATCAAGTGGTTCTTTGACGCCTTTCTGTTGCAGGTCCCTTATGACGGAGTCCCAGGCATCGCGCAATGCCCAATCGACAACAACCAAGAGGGCCAGGCCAGCGTGCTTTGCTCTGGTGCTGTCATGCGGGCTGCTGCTTGCTTGTGCCACGCTCTGGAAGGAGCCGCCATATGTGCTCCCTGATTGCTTTCATGCATGCCCGCCAACAGCTGGAGATCCTGTTCCGTGTCTTGGAAGGCAACAGACGACAGGCATGCAGACAGCTGCCGTTTGGGGTCACATCGATGTTTTCAACAGACACGGTCCAAGATATCCTAAATCCAGTAAGGCAGAGTTGCTTCTCATGCACAAGATGCGTTTTGGCTTGCTCTTTGAGCCGGCGTCTCCATTTCTCGTGTGTGGTGCCACCACCCCCCTCTCCCCCCTCTCCCCCCTCGCCCTATGTGCTGCATGCTACAATCACTTGTGTTTGCGTGCGCCCTTGTACGCTCTGGTTCAAAGTTCACTTTGGCGGGCCATCGATGGCGTTTTAAAGGCTTGCAACTACGGTAGCCAAGTGCATCTATATTGTCTACCGTCTCCACTTCTTGTGTGTGGTGCTTATGCCTCTCAGCCCTCTCCTGCCTCTTTTTTCATGCGCTTGTGCATGCTCTGATCGAGTGCCTGACAGCAGGGTTGAATGTTCACGTCCTCTCCTGCGTGAGATGTACGATTTGGGCTCACTTTTGTGAGCGGGCCAGCTGCATCTTTGCACCTGCATCTCCGCTTCCCTCGCGTGTGGTGCCACCGCTTCCCCATCCTCTCCCCCTCTCTCGGCGCGCTTCTGTGCAAGCTAGAGGCAAGTGTGATTCGTTCGCACCTGCGTCTCCGCTTCGCCTCGTTCGTGGTGCCACCCCCTCTCTGCTTTCTGCTCATCCTGTCATCCTGTCTGCCAGTGTGATTGACTGCGCCCTTCCGTATATAGATGTATATAGTTGCTTGTTCTGATTGTCTTTTGCTTGTATGGGGCCTTCAGACTCACTTGTCACTTGTCACTAGTAGAGACGGCCCACTCCATCTACGCGCCTGCATCTCCATTTCCCCTCGTACTTGTGTGTTCTGCCATCCCCCTGTCTCCGTGCATATCTGCCCTGTTCTAGTTCTCCCTTTCTGTGAAATTCAAACGGGCGATTTTGGCTCATTGCTGAGCCGGCCCACTCCATCTATGTACCTGCGTCTCCGCGTCCGTTCGTCTACGGTGCAACCTCCCCTTTGCCTTTTTGCGCGAATCTGTGCCTGCTACGAGCAAATGGTTGACTGCACCTTGCGTCTTCACTGTGTTGAGCCGGCCCACTCCATCCACGCATCTACGTTTCCGCTTCCCCTCGTATGTGTTGCCACCGCCTCTCTGCCTTCTCCTCTTTATTCTCTCTCTGCGCATCTGCGGTTGCTATGTGCAAAGTCATTGAATTCACTTCCGCTTGTCCTATACCGCGTTGCCTTCCTTTTTCCCATCGCTTCCTCGCGTTCTTTTCTTCCCTTCCCTGCGCACTTCCTGCTCGATCCGTCTCCGTCCCTGGCTCCTGCAGTGGCGCTCTGTGCTTCTCTTCTGCCCTCTTCCTTCTGTCCTGTCCCCCGTTTCCCTCACGAAGCTGCTTCGCGAACAAGATGTGTTTGCCCCTCCGGCCCTGTTCGGCACTCTTTCATTCACCTGCGGCATTCTGTCCAACCCCCCGCCCTCCCAGGACTCCTCTCCTCCGTCGGTTGAGGCTGAAGCTTTCGGATGCTTCTTGCTTACGCAAAAGCATTCCGTCTGCGCCTCCTCCCTCCCTCTCCCCCCTGCTCCTGGCTGCCCCCTCTCTATCCAGGTTTTTGGTTGCTCCTTGCCTGCCAATCTTCACACTTCTCCCCTGCCTCCCCGTTGTTGTTCTTCTGGCGCCTTGGCTGCGTGATGCCTCCCCTTGAACCCTTTGCGGGGGGCGGCCGTGGCGTTGCTGAGCGAGGGGGGAAAAGTGCGGGCGGCAACCGTTCGTGGTGTGGAGTCGTCAGCATGTCGGAGTTCCCTGCTTGGCCGGAAATACTGATTAGATAGTTCCCGGGCAGTTGTTGATCTCTGAGGCCTGGTTTCAGCTGGCAGCCAGAACCGAAGGAGCAGAGTTCATGTGTTCAAGCAGCATGCTTTTGCTAAGCTGAGCGTCCGCCGGGCTCTGTGGAGGAATGGGTCTGCGACAACGGCTACCGAAGCCCAGCCGAGGCGGAGTTCTTTAGGAAGCGAGTGGCACCTGCCTACCTGCCTACCTGCCTACCTGCCTGCCGCTGCCTGGCGTATCCCAGCGAGCCAGGTGAACTGTACCACCAACATTGCATGCGAATGGAAGCTCGACTTCGGTGGCTGCGAGAAGCTAGAGCCGTGCACTGTCTGCACAAGTTAGAGATGCTCCGAATTCAATTCCTGTGGAAACGTTGTTGCGCAAGTTCTTGAGGTGTGCAGACTTGAACATGACGAGCTGTGTGGTGGCCACCCGTCTCGAAGACTTAGCACGGTGAGGTGTTGCTTTTGTTGCCGTGCTTTGGCTGCGGGGACCTCGATTCTTGTCGACCCGCAGGATGGAGATGCATGCGTGGATTTGAACTACGGGGACACATGCACTCTGAGTTGCAGGGCGCCTCCTGGCGGCACCCATCACTAGTATTCGGTATCCTCAAGCCCCACCCACCTGCGCGTGAATGAGCGGCAGCCGAAACAGGGGAAGCTCTGAGAATTCACCCTGAGGCCGTTCTTCGTGGGTGTCAGCACGATCGCTTCCTGCCCCTCCGACAACATCGAAGCTTGACTGATGACCTGAGAGCAGCTGCCCAGCCCGAGAGAACTGTGCAATCGAGGAGATGGGTCGGGAGCTCCAGTACACCCTCCCAAGCTGCGAGGCCCGCAGGGTTCCATGTGACGGCGACCAGCACGGTCTAAGTCTTGCCGGAAGGTGACTTGTCCTGATCCAGACACTCCCCCGGCTGGATATCGGAAGCTTGGCCTCTCACTGACTAATTTGTCAGTATCATCTGCCTTGAATTGTGGATCCACTAGTTTGAACGCGAGGGCTTCAGGATGAGGGGTCTGCGAATCGCCTACAGCTTGCGGCATATTGTGTTGACGTCAGGAAGGCCGGTACAGAGTTTGGCGTGTGCCCTGGCAGCACGCAGCGACTTAATGTACGAGCAGCAGGGGCGTTCTCATGTGATGGCTGACACCACCAGGACAGTTCAAAGCACACGCTTGCGTCATCTCGCGTGTTGAGATTCTGGTTTCGGTTTGAGGCAGGTATGTCCGGAACCCGACTCCCCGCCATCTCCGTGCCTAGTCGGTCTGTCACGCTTTCTCATTCCTTCACAAATCCTGAACAATGGGCACAGGCAAGAGGAAGTTGTGAGGTCTTGAGCTGCAGGCTTCTGAACTGCCATAGAAAGGCCCGATACATTCTCGGCGCGAGGTGGGAGTGTGCCTCTGGTTATGCGGGGACGGCTGAGAAAAGCTGCCACACGTCTTCGCGCCTCGGTGGCGTGAGAGTTGTGCAAATAGGAAAGTGATAGCTTCCACAATACCGTGCCGCAGCATGCAATGCAGGTACGAGGATGGCTGTGTAACGACCACCGTGCTCAGTGGATGCTTGCTTATCGTCCCATGTCTTGGGCTTAGCTTCTGTGCGAGGCTTTGTCAGAGAGGCGGAAGTGGGTAGTTCTGGGTTTCTGACTGCTGAGGTAAGGCACCGGATCCCAGGACGCAGCCTCCATGCCGCTTGGAATCGACTCTTTCCTAGTGGTGACCCAATGTTTTTTTTTGCATCGTTGCGGCGAGGCTTCTACGACACCTCGATGTGTCACTCCATTCCGGCTGGAAGCAGCTGCACCTCGAAGAGAAACCGGGGGAAAAGTGACGTAGCTCTCTGAGTGCTGCGGCTATGTGGCTATGTTATGCCTGAGGCACTATCTCCTGTTTGACACCATACACAGGAAGTGAGGGTCGAGGAAGCTGTCGAGCCGCGTGGCAGGGATTGTGACAGCTGTAGTGCAGAATGTTAGGACCCCTTGACGCGAAGGCTTCGCCAAGTATTATGCCACTGGCTTTGGATAATGTCACCTGAAGCCAAAGCTCGAGCAGCTGCGGGTTTCTATACAGAATTGCCATTCGCGAGGCTATGTAGCTTCGCTAACTTTATCCCGAACTTTCACCCGCAACTTGTGACCTGCAGCTTCAGGCAAGCCATCAATTCATAAAGCATCTCGGAAGAGATCTTCTGCAGAAGTGCTGTCTGAATGTACCGCCCAGGTAAACAATACGGATCCGCACAGGCGGGTGTCGCATGTGAGACCATCCCCAGTACTGAGGTAAACTGGGATGCTTTCTGGCTTAGCACACGCAGCTCCAGCATGTCAGTCTTCCTCAGTTAGGAACTGCACGTCGGTTACCCATGCAGGCCCTTGGCATACGAGTGGCCCATTTGCTCGTTGGCAGCTCGCCGCAATTGGCATGGGCGAATGGCTCCGGTGATGCCTGGAGCTGCGTAGGGTGGTAGGCCTGGTAGGCAGCAGGTGGACACAGGCCCTTGCATGTCGAAATTGCTGCTGAGGACCCATGCCCAGATCCGGATCCAATTCCACTTGGCCGCTTGTTAGCAGGATCTGTGATCACAGGCATGCCGGTGTGCCGCACACAGCAAGGTTATGTGAAGACCACAGGCCTTCCGGAGGGGTGGGGTCGGTCCGGTGTGGGCCTATTCGGGTTTCCGATGCAAAAGTTGCCCGGTGCAGACTACCACTTCACATTGCAAGACGCAGCACAGGCCAAGCTTACGGCACTTGTTTTCCTTGTTCTTCATGCAGCAGGTGGTAACTTGTCCTGGCGCTGCGCCGCTGCCTGGATCAATTCAGTCTAAAGGGCCGGGCCAGCTTTCCCGCATGAGCTCTACTATTTCGCTTGGGCTTACCTGTCGCACCGATCCAAGGATGACCATGTCGGCATCCCCGCAGTTTCTTGCCACCGGCCTGCATTGGCCTTCTGCAACGTCGCGCGGTGGTGTGGTGGCGGTTCTGGTTGCGACTGTTGCTGTTGCTGTTGCTGCTGCTGCTGCTGCTGCTGCTGCTGGTGCTGGTGCTGTTGCTGCTGCTGCTGATGCTGTTGCTGTTGCTCTTGCTGTTGCTGTTGCTGCTAATGAATGTTACTGTCGCTGTTTCTTTTGCACTTGCTGTTGCTGTTGCTGTTGCTGCTAATGACTGTTGCTGTCGCTGTTTCTTTTTCCTTTGCCGTTTTTTTTTTTTTTTGCTGCTGCTGCTGCTGCTGCTGCTTGTGGTGGTGGTGGTGGTGCTGCTGCTGCTGCTGCTGCTGCTGCTGCTGCTGCTTGTGGTGCTGGTGCTGTTGCTGCTGCTGCTGCTTGTGGTGCTGGTGCTGTTGCTGCTGCTGCTGCTGATGCTGATGCTGTTGCTCTTGCTGTTGCTGTTGCTGCTAATGAATGTTACTGTCGCTGTTTCTTTTGCACTTGCTGTTGCTGTTGCTGTTGCTGCTAATGACTGTTGCTGTCGCTGTTTCTTGTTCCTTTGCCGCAGCTGTTTCTTTTGCTGCTGCTGCTGCTGCTGCTTGTGGTGGTGGTGGTGGTGGTGCTGCTGCTGCTTGTGGTGCTGGTGCTGGTGCTGGTGCTGGTGCTGGTGCTGCTGCTGGTGCTGCTGCTGCTGCTGCTGCTGCTGCTGCTGGTGCTGCTGCTGCTGCTGCTGCTGGTGCTGCTGGTGCTGCTGGTGCTGCTGGTGCTGCTGGTGCTGCTGGTGCTGCTTGTGCTGCTGCTGGTGCTGCTGCTGCTGCTGCTGTGCTGCTGCTGCTGCTGCTGCTGCTGCTGCTGCTGCTACTGCTGCTGCTGCTTGCTGCTTGCCTGCTGCTGCTGGTGCTGCTGCTGCTGGTGGTGCTGCTGGCTGCTGCTGCTGCTGCTGCTGCTGCTGCTGCTGCTGCTGCTGCTGCTGCTGTGTGCTGCTGCTGGTGCTGCTGCTGCTGCTGCTGCTGCTGCTGCTGCTGCTGCTGCTGCTGCTGCTGCTGCTGCTGTCTGCTGCTGCTTCTGCTGCTGCTGCTCTGCTGCTGCTGCTGCTGCTGCTGCTTCTGCTGCTGCTGCTGCTTCTGCTGCTGCTGCTGCTGCTCTGCTGCTGCTGCTGCTTCTGCTGCTGCTGCTGCTGCTGCTGCTGCTGCTGATGCTGCTGCTGCTTCTGCTGCTGCTGCTGCTTCTGCTGCTGCTGCTGCTTCTGCTGCTGCTGCTGCTTCTGCTGCTGCTGCTGCTTCTGCTGCTGCTGCTGCTTGTGCTGCTGCTGCTGCTTCTGCTGCTGCTGCTGCTGCTTGTGCTGCTGCTGCTGCTGCTGCTTGTGCTGCTGCTGCTGCTTGTGCTGCTGCTGCTGCTGCTTGTGCTGCTGCTGCTGCTGCTTGTGCTGCTGCTGCTGCTTGTGCTGGTGCTGTTGCTGGTGCTGGTGCCGTTGCTGGTACTGTTGTTGTCGTTGTTGTCGTCTTTGCTGCCGTCGTCGCCGTCGTCGTCGTCGTCGTTGCCTCATGGTCGAGGTGTGTCAGGCAGAACTGGCTTCGACCTGCTAATATAATATGATGCAGCGCTTTGCTGTACAGGATGTGGCAGCAGTGTTGAGAAGATAGTATCGCAGTGGGCGTTCGTTGCGGCCGTGCATGTCGCTGGAACGACTGTCCGAACGCTACAGGTGATGCTACGCTTCCCGATGCAACAGCAGGAGGGGCTGCATGTTCATGTTCTGAAATGAAGTGGAGTGAGCACGCGCAGCTACATCTGGGAAGCGACATCTGTGACTGAATGTGCCACGGATTAGTTCTGATGCTGATGGTCCTGTCGTGGCCGTGGCGCTGTCAGCAGGCATTGTGAACTGCAGCGTTGCGACAGTGCTCACGGGGTGCATCGGCAAGGCCAGGGTCTGTTTGTGCAGGGGAAAGCCTCATCCGTTTTCAGTCGTTTAAGTGCACACGGGCTTGTCCGTAGCTTATTTTCACGCCGCCTCAGCCCTTCGGTTCCGGTTGGTGGAGGGCGTGTCTTTGGAGAACCAATGATTGTCAAGAGTGAACCCGACAAGGCCTGGAACCGTCAAGAAGTTTCGATTGATACGCTTGCAACGGTCGACTCGCAGGTGCCGTGTGTCCCTTTGCCATTGGACACCTGTATGCTTGACTCCTCGAACTGCAGTGCGGGCATTCCAGCTACTCGGCAGATGCAACATCTTTGGGAACTGCGAACCCCTCCGAACCCCGTGGGCAAGCTCAGGCCGGCGACTCCTGTGACATCCACTGCAAGTACCCCTACACCGGCACATCCGGCGAGGTGGGACGCATGGCCGCGGCTTCCGAGCTTGTGAGCCTCCCCCCCCGTGCAGGCAAGCTGCCCATCCATCAACAGCGATCCCTTCTTCCTGCCGACACTTGCTCCGCCCACCTGCATCGTGGACGCTGAGCGCGCTCTATTCATGTTGTTTTATCCCAGTACTTTCGGCAGGCATTGAGGTCTTCACCATGCTGGTGAAGTGCACGCTCAGGACTGCTCGCAACTGGAATCCATCTCTGTCGTGGGATTTCGCCGGAAAGCCAACGACACGGGCTGGGAATGCGCTTCGGACACATTATGAAAGCATTCAGTCAGAGGGGCGGGTTGTGCCAGAAGGCCAACTTGACAGCCAAGCATGCAATAACGCTGGGCCTCTGCACACCTAGCGTCGGAAGACGGAATAACAGACGATTTCTTCGCATATCAGGGCCAGCGCCCTCATTGCAGCAAACCGAGCGAATGTTGCCTGTGACGCAAGCTACTGACACGTGTTTTCAGCGTGCTGTGCTTGGTTTGTTGAGGTGATGATGGTTTCGGCGGCACTGTGCGAGAAGATTGCTATCTGGAGTTTGACAAAGATGCATGCGGGGGCCCTTGTCGAATGGAGTCGATCAGTGCTTGCAGCACAGAATAGAGCCTGAATGATATGATCGACTTGCTTGTGGGGATTTACGCAGTGTCCCAGCTCCAGCTGTCAAGGGCCCCCTTGCTGGAGCTAAGGGCTCGTAGGCCAAGCGCCACTCATGGGCTCGTTGCAGGTGGCAGCCCGCAGCTGCTTCTCTCTGGTTGCTTTCCTCTGGCTGACTGCTTGGCTCCCATGGTCGACCTTTGCCAGTTCAACGTGCACCTCGGCCGCCTTTGACCTCCGGGCTCGAGGCTCGCATCGCTGCATCGCTGCATAGCTCACCTCCGCGCTTCGGACCAAGGTCTGATTGCCAGCAGGTCATGCGAGGCAGCTCCTGCAGCGTCTCCTGTATCTCGCCCTATTCTGGGTCGCAACCCGGCAAAAGATTGTCGCACCTCTGATCAGCCTAATGGTTTGATCAATCCCCTACCCTTGGCCGCACGCCCCGGATGATGATACCAAAATCCCAGGCCCCAAGCAGACCCAAACCTGGAAGGGAACATGTTGTAATCACAGGGGACCGTGCACCATAGGTGGCATCCTCAGCTCCAGGTCCAGCGTGGCAACGTGCCCGATGATGAACACAGATGCACTTCAAGGGCTCGAGCTCGTCCTTCCGATGCCTGGCTAAATCCAACCTCGGACTCTGCCACGGTGCTGGTTTGCTCTCTGTCTTCGAAGGCATCACGAGCTAAGTGAGATAAGTTGAATAGCCGGATAGGTTCCCAAGTCTGTCCATGCATTCATGTCCTGCATGCTCCTGTGGTAAGTGGACGTGAAAGCAAGAATGTGCTGTGGCCGAGGGCCTGCAGCTTTCCCGTGTGTCCTGATCCAGCCGTGCTTCCACTTGGCCGCTCAGAAGATGTGTTAAGCACAGATTTTGCTGGACCACTCTTCCGGGGTGATTCGACGTAATTCGGCTACTCATTCTAGTGTTGTTCTTGTCAGAAACTCGATCAATGCAGCCGTGATTACGCGCAGCATGTTTGGCGAAGCATCGTGCGTTTTGTCTCTGAGGTTTTGTGCAGCATGAGAGGCTCAGCTGCATAATTGGGGGCAGCACATGCTGGAGATGCTCCAGAAACTTGCACAGTCAGGCCCTACAAGACAAGGATAGGCAGCTGATGTGCTTTCCTACAGATTGGGCTTGGGCGATTCCGTGCCATTGCCAATATCTTAGCCCAGGGACCTGTATAAGCTGTTGTGTGCTCCGTGCCAGTTGAGATGTCGTCAAGGTAAGCTACCCATGCTTCTTCAGATTGTGCTGAACAGTGCCATGCCCCGTGAAGTATCCAGCGAAGCCGATGCCCGTTCGAAGGAACGGCACCTATGGCTGCGACCGCGACTACATAGGCCCGAGTCTTTCCGAGGGCATCTTAACGAGCAGCTGCAGCGCTCAGCACAATGGAACTGCAAGGCACCGTCGACCGCAGCTGCACAAGCCTTGCCTACTCGGGCACATCCTTGGGGAATGCTGCCGAAGGCCTGAGGGCCCAAAAAGAAACGAATCTGATGACGAGAACACACTGCAGTCTGTTTTGGACCGTCCCATTATGTCGAAGTGTCTGATTCCCTGTCGCTTGAAAGCTTGGGCATTGCATTCTTTCTGGCATTCAGTGTAAGCCCATATCCGCTGCACACCGACGCTTCAGTGCTCTGGGAATCTCTGGGACTCACGGCTCTCGCGAGACCTTGATCAGGTCCAGCCTGCTACCCCGAAGCAGTGTTCTCAGGCTGCAAGGCACGGTCCGCAGAGTCTCCATGTACTCGTACGTTACCAAGCTCTGAAGCTCTGGTATCGCAGACCTGTGTGCAGGTTGTTGCCGAAATCGTTCCGTGCCAGCCGCCGGTTGTTGATCCCTGTCCAGATCCCAGTGCGATGAAGATCTGCCTGTACGTTTGAGTGCTGAGCAGAGTAGACCCTCGGCCAGTGCGAGGTCTCCACGATGCTTCCTCATGTACCGGGTCTTCGCTGGCTCCGGGTGGTAGCTGCGAAGTTGGATGCCTTTCACCCTTCTACCAGGGTGCCATGGCCTGGCAAGTGGTCAGTAGAAGAGGAATCCATGCGAAAACTTGATTCGAAAAGTTGCTTCCGGTTGCTCTCTTTTCGTTGTCCAGTGTTCAGGGATTCCTCGCCGTTCGTGACGCCTCAACCTGGTCTTCAGGCAGTCCCGTGCAGGCTTCTTGCCCACTCGACAACATCAACACCACAGGAGGCCGGGATCCATGCAGCCCCATTGTCTGATTGTTGCGGTCGTTTGGAAGAAGGAAGTGCTGCAATCTGCCAAAGCTCCACAGAAAGTCTTCATAATTGCCGCTCAATGGTTCAAGAAACTGCAATCGGATGAGTAGGTGTGCTGAGACTGTATAGCTGAAGATTCCCGTAGCATAGTTCTACATTTGACAACTTGACAGGATTGGTGTGGACTGCGCCGGTGTGTAGTCTGCAACTCAATGGGGCGAAACTCACCGTAGTTCTCCGTACCCGAGTACACCCGACAGATGTTATAGAGACTTCACGATGAATGTCGGTCACACTCAGAGTTCTTCAGACTCGCATAGCGCTCTGTGGTCAGTTTTCAGCAGTGGCTGCAAGCCTTAGGTGTTCTTCTCTAGACTCTGGCCTGTATGTGGAACTGCTCAGCAGAGTCCGCCGGCTCGAAGCGTTCTCGGCGTCAACTTCTCTGAGGTCTGTATTGCCCAGAGCCCACACTGGAGGAAGAGCCGGCGTACGGACGAAATCCTGAAGGCCTGTGCAAAGTGCAATCTTCGATTGCCGGCAGGACGATGGTATTGAGTCTGCAATGTACAGGTGGCAGTAGCCAAGACAGCAGCGGATGGATCTGCAACCCCGGCTATGCGGGCACGGCGCAGGCCGCTGTCCTGCAGCCCGCATTGTGACTGGATGGGTCTGACCAGAGTTTAGCATTGAAATGCTGCGCAGGTCACATGTCAACTACTTCCTCCTGCCAGGGTCGCCCCTGCAGTTTTGACAACTCGCCTGGTCAGACACCAGAGCTTTCGCACGGTACTCCCTCCTGTCGTCAGCTCACAGATGCCAGGGGCAACAGTGCGGTGTGGCGAGGTGGTGATGGGACATGGGTTTGACAGATCTGTTGTGTGCAGCGTAGATCAAGCCGTGCACTTGTGATGTTTCTGGCCGAGTGGGAAGCTGCAAGTTTGCAAGGCTCATCATGTCTGGGTGCAGCCGGCTGGAGCCTTGCGTGCCGCTGCAAGCATTTGCAATGGACTTCCAGGCGGTTCCGCGGTTCCGTGGTTCCGTTGAGCCCAGCTCAAACCAACACTCGAGTGCTGGCAGGTGCGCCTTCCGGCCCCGCCTCCTGCCCGCGGGGAGTGGCTGGAGGAAGCTGGAGAAGGCTTGATGCTTCAAGACCGTCATCGCACCTGTAGCTTTGCCATATCATAAACAGTCCGAACTCCGCCATGCGCCATGCGAGGCTTTGAAATCGATGTTTCGGGATGTGCAGCCTTGGGTCCTGGCCAGGCTGGACAGTCACAGGGAAGGTTTTGACTTGGGAAGTCACTGTGGACATGAGTAGATGCTAGGTAGTGTTGGGGAGACCCCTCAACGATTGTGCTTCGTAAACCCTACTTCTGGCTCTCTTAGCAGGAACCTTATTGGGAGGGTCCGAGTTTGCAAGGGTCCCCGTAATCCTAACTCCCAGTCGACTGCGATCGGCAGCAAAACCTCCGAGACTGAGCACGGCCCTGCAGCTAACGAGATTCTTTGGCAATACTTCGAGACGGGTGGGGCTCTTGCTAAAGTTGCGAGTGCCAGGCATGTCTTATCGGTTGCCGGCCGCCGTTTATTGGAGATGTGGTGGAAGCACTTTGCCCCGTTGGGAACACGGCTACGCGGCAGAACCGGCAGAAGCAATATTGCTAGACTATAGTCACACGTGAGGTTCCATGTCTAGAAGATTTTCTCTTGCCCAGGATCGATTTCAGGCACCCATCCCGCACAAGACTCCGCTTCTCGGCATTCCTATGGTTTCAGCCGCTTTGGTCAGAAGTTTGTTGCGAGCTGCCGAGGCTTTGTGAGCTTCGATGCCCGGACCCGCAAAGGGCACCGCCGGGTTACCAGCTGATCAAGACAGAGCCTGGGCAGCATTTGATGACTTCTATCCTATGCCCCTGACGTGCGCGACGTCTCGGGCATGTCTCCGGTACAGCCTGCGCACATGAAGCGCGACAGCTCTCTTCATACCGGCTTAGTCGACTCAGGCCCGCCAACCGACTGTGGGTGCCGCTGGCAAGGATGGCGAGTGGCAGTGCACGTCGGACTTCACTGGCTTGCCTTTAAAGCAGCTTGCAGAGACGCAGTGCTGTTACCATAGCCTCCGTGTCGATGCTTGAGCCCTTTGCCGGCCCAGGCACTGCAACGCAACTGCTGCATGCAACGAAACCGGTGCGGAGCAGCTTGACGAGTCAGGACCCCTCGTTGGACTCACATGCAATGGCTGTGTGCCGCACTTGTTCTGTTTGTAGTCTGCTGCTGACCTGTGACGTGTTGCTTTGCCAGGAGACTGCACCAATGCCGTCGAGCTTTCCATCGAACTCACTGGCTGTGTGAAGCGGCAGCCATGCCAAGCTCCAACACTGGACTCTTGCCTCTTCATCTGATGCTCTAGACTCTATGCAGTCTGTCCCGCATGCTGTTGCAACCTGTACATTCATGTGTCACAAGAGTTGCACTGCTTGCACAAGCTGCGCACAGCAGGACTCTTGCAGCGTGGAGAGCTTCGACTGCCCTGCAAATTTGCTGGACCCCGGTTCGTCGTGCACAGTGCTCTGCTACTTGGCAGCGAGTACAGTATTCCGTCATCATTTCTCGGAGTCTGTGGTCTCATCTCGCTGCTAGGTCGCTTTCCGTTTGTTGGAGATCCGACGATCGCACGCTGCCCTCACGAGAACGTCCTCTTTGGGCAAGGCCAGGCACCGACTTTGCTTGCCACATTTGCCCCCGAGCTCTGAGACTCTGGGAAGCTTTGACTCTTCAGGATTGGATTGGACACCACCCGACTGCGTGTTGCCAGAATGCTACGATCCGGTTCCGGAAGGCCCGTGCACAAACCCGGCGATACTGTACGCTTGCTGTGCCTCTGAGAAAGAGGGTCCACATATGCGTGACCGAATCAGCCGAACCGATAACTAACTGTTTTGGCTTTGTCAGGCTATCAACATGGTGCAGCTGGATGGGAGTGTGCAGAAGGTACCCTGCCGGGGTTCACAATCTCCTCCTCAATGCCTGTTTCCCAAGTTGCAAGCTCTAGGCTCACGTATTTGTTCAGCACTGCCGGACTGGGGAACGTTTGCTTGCACACTAGTCGCTGCAGGCTACTTCGGCTCGGCAGTACGCAGCTGCACGACGGATGTCAATTGTGAGCGCGAGGTGGCTCTTTCAGGCACGTTTCGTGGAGGTGATGTCAGGTGTGTGCTCTGAAGATGCATCCGGCCTTTGCTGTGTGCAGGTTGCACAAAGCTACAACCGTGCAGCTTACCACGAAGCCGCGATCGTTGTCGCTATGACGCTCGGCTCGCGGGGAGGGGCTTCCTTAGTGCACTTGCTGGGTAGCTGTCAGATAGCGGCTAATTGACAGCTTCGATGTGCACAACCTATAAGCTTCGGTGAGGGTTGCAACTTCACTTCAGAGTCACAGCCGCTCGGGGGCAGTGCAGGATGCATCCGAAAGGGCGAAGCTTGAACTGAGAAGTGAGCAACAATTTTCTTTGACAATTCTGCCTGCTTGGTCAGGATTTCACCTCCTGCCTTTCAGCGGTCGATGGGCAGAGCTGTGAGGTGCGGTGCTTGGAGCCCCGGCACAAAAATCAGGAGAACAGAAAGCACAAGGGTGGAGAGGTCGATCGATTGACATGACACAGCTCAGTGTGATTGAAAGGGCGACGTAGCAGAGCTTAGGAGCCCTTCTACACGGCTGGCCGCTCACAAGTTGGCCTTGCGCTTTGTCCTGCAGGCACAGACCGATTCGTGCACCATACCACCCATGCTGGCGTACCGTTCTTCAGGCAACGTTGACCCTGAGCAAGAGCTGCAAGTCCTGTTTCCCGGCTGCACTTGATCATTTAGCCATAGCTCGACATGTTTTGAGAATCGGGGTCTGCACCACAAGTGCACAACCGGCCAGGTCGCTGCCAAACTGTGTGCCGGAGTGCACTGTGGTGCCTCCTCCCGGCTATGTCGGTTCTCTGGAGACAGGCTGGCGATGCGGAGAGGGCTACCTGGGCACCGCGACCGTCAGCTGCACAGTGACAGAAGTCGGTGCCAGCTGCATTGCTGACTTCCAGGCGTCGGGATGCTTGCCTATTCAGCCCTGCATCCCAAAAGCAGCGGAGAATCCTTGTATGTACGACATGGATGATTGCAGGGAGGTCAGTGCTGGATCCACTTGCGAAATACACTGCAAACATCCATTTCGAGGTAGCTCAGCAACAGGCAGTTGTCCTGCCGGTAACACGGATCCCAATAGGATGGTGGACGCAGATTTACCGGAGTGTTTCGTGAAGGCTCCGTGCCCAGATCCGACAGATGGAATACCGGAAGAATATAGATATACTGGCAACATTCTGGAGCCAGTTGAATGCTCTGGAGGCTTTGCTGGTCCAGCTATTCGGGAGTGCACAGCCAAACTGCTGCCAAACAGCACTGACACCTGTTTTGTCGAGGGCAGTTTCACTGGATGTGCCAAGATTGTGCCATGCCTCTCCCCCGAGATCGCGTCGAACGACTGTGAGCTTAACACTACATGTGGGCCTATGCTCAACGCCGGTGACAGCTGCGAGACTTCGTGCAACAGGCCACTCGAAGGACAAATGACTGTGGCACGATGCCCAGCGGACAACACAGATCCGACGATGCCAGCGATTTGGACACGTCCAATTTGCACTTGCCCGGATCCGGCGATCGTCCCTCCTGGCTTTGCCCCGGCTCTAGGGGCATGGACATGCTTGGCCGGATACGTAGGGCAGGCAGCGAAGCTCTGCGAGTGTCGGGCAGAGGAGCCACTGTTGCGCGGTTGTTACTCGCCAGTAATTTGCGGTGCTGCCGGCTTTTCCGATACGGACACTCGAAGAGGCTTTGTGGGAGGAAGGATCGAGTTTGGGCCCTCGACCTTGGATGGGAGGACCGACGAAGATGGTGTTTTGAGCTATCAGGTCTTTTGGGCCGATGACTGCGGGATCCCTTTGCGGGATTTCCCGGCCATTCTTAGGGTGCCTCCCCGCACCTCCGGTGGTCCTTCGAGTCTTTGGCCTGATGGTTGCTGCAAGACAGATGTTTATTCCTTGACAATCCCGGCAACTGAGTTGCCGGCCGAAGCCCGGCAACTGCTGATCCTCGTGCTCACAAGCTCGGGACCCGCACCCGATGGGTTGGTCATCCCGTTGGAGGATAGCAATTTCGAAGACACTGTGACAGTTCCGCCCAAAGGTACGGTTGGCAGCGAAGCCAGCGAACGGCGGACTTCTGGGTGGCTTCTTTTGTTGACTTGCTTGATAGCAGTCAGTCGTGAGTAGGATCTTTATCGATTGTCGTGGCTTGAGTTGTGGACTGTCGTGGGTTCCGATCGAAAGAGCTGCAGACAAGCTGTCTTTTGTCGTCAAAACTTCCGTTCCAACTGAGAGGCAACGAGGACGTTCTCCAAAACCCAAGCCTCGGCTGCGATTTTTCGGTGGCTAACACTGAGGCTGCTAGAGAGGTCTGCAGCCCCTGAGCTGAGCCATATGCCATCTCAAAAGCGATGGCTGCGCAGGAGGGGTAAGTCGAGCTTAGAGTTTGAGTCGGGTCAGAGTAAAGGCACATGGTGCGCCAGCCCTATGACCGCGTTGTTTATCGCTGCGCCCCTCCGCAACAGCACGTTCTTTCAGCCTATATAGGCCCCTCGAAGCAGCACCGGAATTTGTACCAGGTCTGACTTTCCGAAACGGAAATCGTCAGGTCTTGAATTCAGCAACCGATAAAAGGAGGGTTTGCACTTGACTGAACCCGAGTAAGATTCCCCAAAAGGACGAACACAATAAACAGGCTAAGCATTTGGGGAGCTTAAACTGGTCTTGTCCTGGCATGAGCCAACGTAGCAGCCGAAGTACACTTTACGCCTTACGCTCGAAGTGTATGCAACACCTGTGCTTGCTGGGACAGGTAAGGCTTCAAAATAGATGCAGGCAAGCTAAGGCTCACATTCCTTGCCTGCTGCGTATTTTGCTCAGCCAAAGCTACTTTGCTTTTCGCTCTAAGCCGTTGAAGCTCTTTCAGCGACTCGCCGAGACCTCAGTTGTGTTGTGCATCCCGTGCTTGGCAAGTATGGCTGCTTGTGCTCCGTGCTATGCAGGTGACACCCCTACGGTCCTGAACCCCATCTTTCAGAGAACGCAGATGCCCGAAGCAGGGCGAGATCGAGTCTCTTTGCAGCAGATGGCTGTCCTGTCCTGTTCGTGGCCATGACCGAGGTTCAAAAGCGCTCAGCCAAAAGCGTGATTTCCATCAATGACGACCTCCAGCACCGAATTGGCTGGTATGGATGAGGAATTGTCCGTTATCGGCATGATTTGGCTGCTCAGCTGGCCGAGCGACAAACTGTTCTAGCTTGGAAGCAGCACCTTCTTCGCTGGTAGAGTCTACTGACAGTGCCACAGCGCTGCAAGTGCATCCCCATGAGGTCCTGTGTCAACGAAGCTGCCTGGTTTGCGGCCGGCTTCCTTCTCTTTCGATTGGCGCTACGCTACAACCTTCTTCCGGCACGAATCGAGCTCTGGACTCCACAGGCTCTGAAGACCAAAAGCATCTCGATTGCACGGGCTTGGCAGGTTTCTCTGCTTTAGGACATTAGGACAGCTGAAGACGGTGTGAGTCATGCCTTGCCACATTCCAGGCAACAAGGGTGGCAATTCGCCAGGCGCTAGTAAGCAGCGCTGCCGCGCCACCCAGACAATTTGCGATCGCAGCGACGCTGGTGACCATCAAGCCGTCTTGGCAAAGTGGAATGAGGTAAGGGCGGAGGCTGGTGTACCCAGCCTTCAGCTGGTGGCCTTGGAAGCAGTGGCAGAAGCACTGACCGTATGCGAGCCAAGCCGCTTGGCCGACGAGCTGACGCAGTACCTGTCCCTTCATCCTCTGATGGCTCGTCCCTCGAACACACATGGCCTCGTGGCAACGATCTTGAGGGCAGGCCGTGATCCGGAATTGGCCCAGACCTTTATCGAGCAGATGGAGGCAGAGAAGATGCAGTCTGCAGTTACCACCAAGGTTCATGACATGGTCTTGGGCCACTTCGCCGCCAAGGGACTCTACGCCAAAGTCACGACACATCTTGCCCGGAGAGAACCAGACTCTGAGACGTGGACCTCCGGCTTGAATGCTGCGGTCCGTGGCTTTCTCCAGGGAGGACATCTGAAATTGGCAATGAAATGCATACAAGAGGTGCAGGAGATGGGACGTCCCATCAGTCCAGCGTCCGCTGCTGCTTTGCTTGATGCATCCTGCAACAAGAAGGAGCGGCACGGAGGGAGGTCCGTGGCAGGTTCAGCCTTGCCTTGTGAAGTCTGCGCTGGCTACAGGACGTTCCCATTTCAAAAGTGCTGGACATCCTGGGAGGCAAAGCAGCTTTCAATGCTTTCAAAAATTGAGCACCCGCGTCGCTCCTGGCAGGTACCAACCTGCCCACGGAATCCGCAGCGGCGGTAATGTCGACTTGTTTGAAGACGGATGATACTGTCGCTGCGCCCCTTGGTCTTCTTGTGTTCAGGTGCTTCGGGTCCCAAGGTTGTCCTCATGCCCGTTTTGCGATGCCTTTCCTGAACTCTGCGTGATTTTTACTACTCATGCAAACATGCAGTTTCTACAACGAATTCATAGAGCATTGGTAACACACCTGCCACTGTTCCGCCTTCAGGCGTCAGGGTGCTAAGGCTGCTTTGCTGCTTTAGGGTTTATAGGCTTTATTTTAAGTTTATGTCACACTTTTTCCTGCTACTGACGATGCATCTACTAGCCCACTACCTGTCTACAGTCTTTCATTTTGTCTGACGACTTACGACACACACACACACAGACACACATTGCCGACCGATCGACCGACTGCACATAATCGATCCGCCATCTTTACGTTGACATACATACATGCCTCAAGGCTAATAAAAAGCCGAGCAGAAACATGTACCAGTGGCTGAGGCGAAAGCTGGAAGCCCAACTGCGCGGACAAGGGCAGGCGCGCAGCATGACACTGCCCAGCACCTTCACACAGCATCCGCGCGACACTAATTACACCGTCAAATGAATGATGCCTCGTTTCCTGCTCGCAGCTGTTGCGAGTGTCTTTGGCTCTTCGTGAGTGTGGAGGTCCCGTTTGCAGTTCTGGAACCTCTGCTGAAGCTCGCTGCGAAGCACGACGAGGCGTGGCAGTTCGAATGTCTTCTTGTCTGACTCGGCCGCATGGCAGGAATGGGCCCAGCAACTAATGCAGGCACGCGTCGAACTCAGTCTTGCTGCGTGTCCTTTACGAACCAATCCTGCAGGAGATGCAGGAGAGAAACATGTTCCTGTCGGAGGGCCTTTGTGGCCTGGTTCTCTCTCGATGTGGTGAAGCTCGTCACATTCAGCTTGCGGAGGCGCCTGGACCTTGCAGATGCCCCAGTTCCTTTCTCACTATGCAGATGCTCAGCATCTCCGGAGGTGATACAGCGATATCTCCGTGACCGGAAGATGACCAGCTTGGCCACCTACAAGACCCTCATGAAGGCAGGAAGCACCATCTACTAGCACCATGCTCCCCCTTTTCAACTTGAGTTTGAAGAGTATCGAAAGCACATGCGGAAAGACATGCTGGGGGACTCTAGCCAATGTGAAATTACATAAAAAGTCTACAGCTTGGCTGAACCTGCTGTTGATTCCTTGCAGCCGTGATGCAATACCTGTATGGCTGCACAGACATGCAGGTCTTCGCCACTTGTGACCTCTTCGAGCGTGCTTGTGACTTGTACGACGACATTCTTGCCGACGGCATTACACCTGACAGTGTGGGACTCCGGGTATTTCTTTCTTGCGATAAGCGCTGTGATTTGTTGTTTTGCAGGTAATGTACGGTTGCCTGGCCAAGTTTGCCACGAAGTGTGGCCGCGACGCTCTGCAAGACAGGCTCTTCAGTGCCGCTTCGGAGAAGCCTGAGGTGCCGCTGCCTGCTTTGCGCCTGACGCTACGATTGAACTGCATCTGGAAAAAGCCAACCCGACACATCGGCTTACACAGCAGAAACATCTACGGAGCTCATGTTTCTGTGTATTGGGAGGCAATGTGCAAAACAATTTTTTCTAGGCTTGAGCTCAATGGCGCATGATCCCGTCGACTGTGAACATCTCAAGTTTCCCAATTCCTCCCAGTTCGCCGGTGCAGGGCGGCGATGTTCAGAACTACATGTGGCTGATACGGTCCGCAGGCCTCGGGTGCCTGTGTTGTGAACGGTGAATGCAGGGTCCAGGAAACGGCCAGGACAGAGACATGACGTTGCCCGCGCAGTGAACTTGCTTCGGCAGCTGCAGAATCAGAAGGCGCGACTGTGTGCAAGAGCCTGTGCGTGGGTCTATGAGTCTATGAGGGTCTCGGCTTCTCGTTTCGGCTTCATGCCTGGCAGTCGTCGTGTCTCTTCAGGCCGTGGTGGTGGATGCCGCCATCTACAATTGCGTCCTCGATGTCTGCATGTCGAACGGAGCCATGCAGCAGGCAGAAACCATTTTTCAGGACTCTACGACTCTATGCCCTTGGGGTCGTCGCATGGTACTTGTCTCGTGCCGAAGGAGATGCAGCAGACGAAGCTTCAAAACCTGATCACCTACAATACGCTCTGCTCTCAGTTGATGCGCTCACTCAGCCACCACTCCGCGCTTTTCTGCCCAGGCTCATGAAGGGCTATGCTATGAAGGCAGCAGAAAACATGACAGTACAGGGCTTTGCAAAGTCGTTGCATGTGACAGGGCGACCTCACCCGTGCGCGCCGCCTCCTCCAGGACATGCAGGACAGGAGCCGATTCAAAGAGCTTCTGCAAGACACAGGGCTTCCTGAGTCCAGGGTCTCACGGCTTGAGGAGGCTGGCCTGAAGCCCAACTCCGCCTCCTTTAACTGTTTAATCAGCGCAGCAGTCACAGGAGGCTCGGACTTCTTGCAGCATCCCGGAACAACCGTGTTTCGAGTCATCTCAAGAATCGAGTCGGTCAAAAACTGCGGAGCCAGGCGACTACCAGCAGGCGTGGACCATCTTCGAGAGCATGCGGAAGTGCGGCGTGGAGGTACTTCCGCTTGGTTGATTTCCCTTCGGCCCTTGCATGTGCTGACTGAGCAGGCCGACAGCTTCACTGTATGCATCCTCATGAAGATCGCACGGATCTTACATCGCGGCGCCAAAGCTTTGCTTGTAGCTGATCACACCCGTGACTCTTGGCAGCGGCAAGGTCCGAAAAGCGAGCAACCGTCGCGATGCTCAGAGGGCCTTGAGCGTGCTGGATGCATCGAAGGCCGGCAAGAAGT